GCTGCCTTCTAGATTTGCTTACCCGATCAGAGTAAGCACATCTTGTGGTCTAAAAAATCTTTGCACGTGAACCTCTGAAGCGCGTTTACCTAAGCTCCCCCCCCCCCCCTCGTTCCTCTCTCTTTCCCCGTAAAATGGGCAATCTGACGTCAGTGAATACTTGCTAATCAGTGTGCCGAAATTCGCCTGGTGACTGACTTCCCAAGCTTTCCCGAATACACGTATCGGTTCCGACTTAAATTTCGTTCCAAAAACACATTTCGTAGAAATGTGTTTCGTGGAAAACGTTCGTGGACACACGTTTTGTCGACACTGTGACGTTTTGTGGAAACGCGTTTCGTGAATACATCACCTTTCGGCGTTTCGCCGGCCGCATAATTGTATTTATTAGGCGAATTTGATGAGAGCGGTGGCTTTATTTCGTTCTCTGGATGTATAGTGTAAGTATGGAGGGCCAACCAACCAGGCGGCGCCGACACAAGACAAGCAAGTCTGAAAGCCCTAAAACAGGCATCCCAGCGGACCGCATCACGCGCCTTTACCCCTCGCTCTGCTCCACACCGCTCGGGGAAATGGAAATGTAGTCTGAGGCTTCGATGCAGGCCAAGCCTCGTCGTAACCGCCAAGGGCTCGGCGAACTAGGCAGCCCAGGCTACCGTCAGGATGACGACAGCGGAGGCGATGGGAACGGAGAGGAGCTGTCGACGGAACATCAAAAGACGTGGGGATTAACCGAACGCGGGGGCCCTTCGATCGAGCGAATTCTCCTCGAAAAGTAGCAGTGTCGACGAAACGATTCGTCAATCAAACGTCGTTTGACGAAATAATTGCCACCGGAGAGATCCAACATTTCGCAGTAAAAGTTTCTAGTCGTGCGAACAAAACTGCATGCATTTACAGGAAAATGCTAAAACAACAATGATAGTGTGAGCGTAAAAAAAAAATAAAAAATAAAAAAGGTCGAAAGAAGCGCGCAGATGAATATGCTGGAAAATACAGGCAAGTTGAGAAGATAAAGAACTAGGTTTTATTATGTGCACGCGAGGTCGTGAAATTTTATCCAACATTTCTCAGTCGCAAAGTGCGCTGTCAGTTTATTCCAATCGATTATTTTTTTGCGGTACGAACGACTCTGCATAAAGAGCCCAGTCAGATGTGATGCGTTTTACTTTGTGAGTTCTCCCGACGCGGAAATATAATGTGAGGTGCCTGAAATAAATTGTCAGGGAGGGATTCACTGCACATCGCTTATGAAACAGTGATAGATGAGCAAGTTTCCAGCGACGTCAAAAGTCTTTCAACTGGGAACGACATTTAATGATATGACACTGTAAAACATGAATAACCAAAAAAAAATAAGGATTGCGATCGATTAATAGCTATTATCATGTTGGCGTATTGAGAATTCCACATGGAACAAGCATTTTAAATGTTAAAGCAAATTAGCGTGATGCAGGCCAGTTTTCTAAGTGAGCCGGAGCCTGTTTAAAGTTGTGTCTGATGAGATCGAGGGAACGGTTAGCAGACGCGATATTTAGATTCGTTGGAGGGTGGCATTTTAAGATAGACTGAAAATGAATTCCTAGGTACTTATATGTGGAAGTTATTTCAAGTATATATGCACTTCAAGATGTTAGGATTGAAAGAGAGCAATTAGCAAAAATATACTCCTTTGGTTTGGAGTTCGTTTAGTGCCATTAGCCAGAATGAACAGCGTGTTTATTGCGTCCAGCTCGAATTAAAGAGTTGGGCGGTCGGTGTTACTAGGGAACTTTACGATAAATGACACGATCAGCTGCATATAGTCGAGCTCGGGATCATACACAAGTGGACAAGTCATTATTATACACAAGAGAAAGCCATAAACCAAGCTCGCGGACTAGACTCCAGACGTCACGTCGGCAAAATGAAGTTTTGATTTTATTAATGTAATTCAACTCAATTCTACGTGTGAAAGAGTTATTTTTCTTAAATTCATGCGAGGATATGAGAGTGAATATTACGTGAAGCAAGTTTTAGTAGAAAGCTGTGACGGGGGTTTTGTGCTATGTGCATGTACGATTAAACAACCTTCCATTTTCCTCGTTCTTTTTTCTCCCGTTCCTCCTCTGCATCTTACGCTTTGATCGTATTCTTTATATTTAGGTATTAGTAGCTCTAATCTATAATTTATATTTTAAACTACTTGTATCGATCGAAGTAAAAAAATGTAATGACGTAACGTTTTACACTAACACGAAGCGAATAAAAAAGTGCCTAACTGGAACACCGTGGAGCCCCGTGCTTACCGCTATGGCTTCGCGCCACTTCCGGTTTTAACGTTTCTAATCTTATATTGCGCAGGACATGTCTGATGCGGAGCACGTGCCCGTGTAGTGAAGCTTATGGCAAGCATTCACGTGATCTACATTTCCACATGTCAAAAATGTAATGGCAAATAAAAGAAATAAAATTTGCGCAATCCAAAAAAATGAAATGAAAGTTATATTTCAAACGACCCTCATCCGTGTTTTGATCCACATATCGTTCTGTCGGTGCGCTCCCGTTTTCATGAACCGACGGCCGCCTCAGCAGGAAAAGATATCAAATCGGAAACTTGCCAGTCTCAGCGAAAACAGGAATTAGTTCCGAGTACGTGTGCTCTCCGATAGATACAGCTGGTGGGATTCGCGGAATCGTCGGCACGCGGCTTTGTAGCGTAAACAGTTCCAGAGTGGATGAGACAGCGGGTAATATCAACATTCAGTAGCATCGCAACCTGTGGGAACATAGTGAGGTATGGAGAACATCGTCTACTTGTTTATTGTTTTCTAGTCAAACCGAATTTTACGGTTGTCGGTACTTCTATGCCGCTATCTCTTAGAACGAAGACAGCAAATGCGCCGAGAATTCTAACCTACGGATGAATACTCCGTTTTGCGCTAAGTTCGAACACAGTCAACGCCGCGACTCATCGGAGCTGATCAATCAGCTCCAGAAGTGCAACAACATGGCGCTTCTTGTCTTATACCTTGGCTATCGCCGTCTACGCCAATGAGGCGCATTGAAATGCAACGTGCTCCTGCGTTTCTTTTCGAGCGTGAGTGTTTGAGCCGGTAAAGTCAAATGCACAAATACCCAAGCGCCGTATCGATTTATGCTTTGGCACAGCCTGATCGGCCCCAACGGGTCGCAGCTTGGGCGGCGTTCGGACTTGGCGTAAGACGGAGCGTGGTCCCACCAGCACGTCCACGACAGATTTTTGCTCCTCTAAAAATCGAGTTATTTGTCCACAATTTTCTCGTGGAGGCCACTTGGGGAAGTTCAAGCGTAAAACGTGGTTAGCCGGCAAATATGTATGGCTGCTAGGTGGTCCGGACCAGACAACACATTTTGACAATCAACCGTTGACTTACTCAAAAGTTACGGGTAATTTTCTGAAACTTTCGATGGCGAAATGGGGCTCGGGTTTTCGGTAACCGATGCCATCTATTACCATGTCTTCGTGAGCTCCATAAGCCGCCATTTTCTCATTGAAAATTTCAGAAAATCACCCAAAAACTGAATTAGTTAAGACCAAGCTTTGGAATTTTGGCATCCGGTACGGACCACTACGCTACATTTGGGGGCGAAATTGAGCGTTCAGTGACGCGTAATTTATTTTTCGAGCTAAAGTAATATTTTGTTTTTCTGGGTACTTTGTATTTAGACGGATTGTCGAAAGCAGCCTGAGCTCATTTAGTTTTGAAAACGAGTTCTGTCTTGTCGCTCAGCGAGACTGCGGAGCCAAACCCAAACTTGGGGCTCAGGAAATGGCGAAAGCTAATGTTGATTTATAGCGTTTTGACAAAATTATATTTCTCAAAACTATATTTACGATACAAAATTATATTTCTCAAAACTATATTTACGATACAAAATTATATTTGAACCCATAAAGCTATCCTTGTGAACTTTCTTGATCGTTTTGGAGAAGTAACTCTCGCCCACGTGCCTCAGTTTGCTGTCATATCAAAGTTGTTTGCTTGTTTTAGGGGTACTTAGATATCGCCCACTGCCCTCAGTTATGCAGAAGGTATTTGATCGCCTTGATGAGTTGAGCTATCGCCCACGTGCTTCAAATTGCTATCATGAAAAAGTTGCTTGATCGTTTTTGAGTACTTAGCTATCGCACACGTGCCTCGTTCACTACATGCTGATGTTTGATCTTTTTGGAGTACTCAGCTATTACTCACGTGCCTCAGTTTGCTATGAGGTGAATTTGTTTCATTTTTTTTTTTTAGTTCTTAGCTGAGCTATCACGTCCTCGATTTGCTGTTATGGCAAGGTTACTTGATCCGCTTTGAATAACTAGATGACGCCAACTTGCCTTAGTTCGCTATAGGTTTTTTTTTTTTTTTTTTTGGAGCACTTAGCTATCTCCCACGTACATCAGCTTGCTATAGTACGAAGCTGTTCGATCGTTTTAGTACACTGGGCTCTCGACCACGTGCCACGAATTGCCATACGGCGAAGTGGTTTTCATCGTTTCGAAACAATGACCTATCGCCCACACGCCTAATTTCGCTAACATAGCGAAGTTGCCTGATTGTTTTAGAGTACCGAGATGTCTCCCACGTGTCTCAGATTGAGAGTGTGGCCAAGTTCCTTGATTGGTTTAGAGTATTTAGCTATCTCCCGCGTCTGGCCCACGAAGTCCACGAATGCATGGAGATGAATGCCGTGAACTACCGAAAAAGGGTCCCATTCTCCCATCAAAAGTTTTTGACGATCGCTTATAACTTTTAAACGAAACAAAAAAACCAGCGTCAAGATGTTCAACCAACCAGCCCCCCAATTAATTGTGAAGCTCGGAAAGTTTGCCCCCCTCGTTTAGATCCATAGCACTGCCTTTGGAAGGAGACTGCGCGTTCAGTGAGTAGTCTACTTTTGCGGTGAAAAACACACAGTAGCTTTTCTTGGGGGCATGCTGTATGGTGACGTTGGATATAGTTTTATCGTCTCCTTGTTTCCTTCTAGGTATGCCTGGAAGATGCTTCCCCAGGTACCAGGATATTGACGGAATTAAATACTCGTTAGGATACCGGGCTGACTGTGTTCGCGATGCCCTCAACTACTCGCCTCGAGATGGAGACATTGTGATGGTGTCCCACCTCAAGTGCGGCAACAACTGGCTCGCTCAGATAATCCAGCTCATTCTTCACAGGTAATTGAACGGAAATAGGGTGCTTCAGTAGATCGTTTTGATACCACCGATAACGATAGGGGGATAACAATACGATTCGTGCGCTCGGGCCTAAGCGGATTAGCTTATATAATTTTCGAAGCTACCGGAGTGGCCTACTATACATTCCTAATAATTTTTTATACGTCACAATGTCAACGAATCTAAAGGCAACGTTCAGGCTTTTGCTGGTTGCCTTTGGGCTCGTTCAGGCTCGTTTTAAAATAGACCGGAAAACTTGACGCTTGCAAGTAGCGGTCTAAAATTGCGACCAAAAATATCTACACTCGTGAAAATAAAATCTGTCGTTTCCTTCCTGCAAACAATATGGGCAGCAGACGTGCCATGCAAACTTAGAAATCGGAAGTGTTCGTTACTATGCTCACAACCACAGCCCAGGTTGTTTTTTAAATGCGATATATTGTATCTCCGTAGACACCTCAGAAGTGTTCACAGCAACTATTCATTCTGAATTACCAAGTTTTAGCGGTAAAATCTAACAACTAATCTTGCTCTTCAATTGTTCACGGACAGTCTAGATAATACCTTTAATCTTCTTACAGGGGACAATCTGCTAAAGATGTGACAGAGTTTCGTCGTCGCACATCGTACATAGAGTTCGTGGGCACAAGCCGCTTGAAAAACACGACGGCGCCACGCTTTTACAAGACGCACTTTTCTTACGAACGACAACCGATGAACCCCAAAGCGAAATACGTGTACCTCACGAGAAATCCTCTAGACGTCTGCGTCTCCCTGTACCATTTCACTCGCTCGATGCCGGTCTACGAATTCGAAGACGGCGCCCTGGACGCGTTTTTCGAGCTGTTTGTGACGGGAAAAAACGACCGTGGCGACTTCTTCGACCACCTCCTCTCCTGGTATGATCACAAGGACGACCCCAACGTGTTGATCATCACGTACGAGCAGCTCAAGGGGGACTTCAGAGGCACGGTCTTTAGATTAGCTCGTTTCCTCGGCAAAGACTACGAGCAACAATTGACGACTGACGAAGAGCTCTTCGAGAAGGTTCAAGAGCAAAGCGGTCTTCCTTTCATGACTGAGCTTTTAGAGTTTACGCAAGAGAACATGAGGAGGCTGGAAGAGGAAAAGGACACAGATGTTTGTCAGGCTGTAAAACGATTCGTGTGCGACCGTAATGGGAACCTGAGCTTTACGAATCTTGTTCGCAAGGGGGTCGTAGGCGATTGGAAAACGCTCTTAAACGAGGAGCATCTGGACCGTTTGCGGCGTAGGGTTCTAGACAAGAAGGCGGCGCCGGTTCTCAAGGCTCTGTGGAAGCCCGAGGATGTAGGATACATCGTATAGACTTCTTTCATAGCAGAACTCAGGACAGGTTTGAGCTCCTCGCTGAACGTGATTGTATAAAATTAGAGCGGCTAGTGCAGCTATAATTTCATACGTTGGCTCGACTGCAGCGCGAGCCAACGTCCTTTGCTGTTCATTGAAGGTGCGGCTGAAATCTGCAACGTCGTGCGTTTGGACCGTGCTTTGCTTCGTTCAGAAGTGGAAAAGTGGTTTATGTCGTGCTAATAGGCACGCCACAAGTAGAGATGTTAGTGCTGTGAGCGCAAGGATGCGGGAAATATGTCGGTCCATGGAGGCATGTGTTGCGAACGCTGTTCAAAAGGTGTTGTGTGCGTAATGAGCGAGTTAATTGGCAAAAACGGCTATCGATCCTGAAGGGCAAGGCAAAACGGTTCCTCTTTCACATCTCAAATACGAACAAATTCTGTGAAGGAGCTGTTCTTCCAAACACAAGCATGTTACATGGCCTAACGCTTAAATGCGCAAGCAAGAGGGCAGAAGTCGGCGACTGAAAACAGGACGACCCTTCGAGACTGAGAAAATTTTGACACAAAGACACCTGGACCCTGAAAATGATATCTCGTGTTCCGAAGTGGCAATTCGGAGCGGTTCGTTAAGTCATCGATAATGGTGGCACTAATTCGCAGAGTGACAATGACTTGCGGCCGTTTTGTTTCCGTTATTCAGAATTCCCTTTATCTTGAATGGCTGCGGTATGTTTCTACTGTGCGTCCACTATTTGCGCTTGTTTAATCGCATTGCGATGAAGTACGCCCATCCCCCTTCTCCTCCCCCCAAACACACACACACACGTGCAAACAACACATATAACCGCAATTTACATCGTCTCGCCTTTTTATGTCAATAAGCTATTGACTCTTTTAATTTGAAATGAAACTCTTCTGTAACACCACTTTTCAGAGAATTCAAATCATGGGTAGAGTTAGAGATAAATTTACTCGAAGCTGCTGGAAGCGTACGCAATAAACAAGCTAGGCGCAGAGTGCTGCGTCAATCAGACGTCAATTTATGTACATAAAAAAAAAAAGATTGTTTGACAAGGAGTTATGATTATTCGATGTTTTAGTGGTTGCGTTTTTTTAGTGAGTTCAGGTTTTCGCTGTGGTTGCTGTACTGTTTTTCCTCCGATTAAAAATCGTCAGTTGTCAGTTAGCGCATGCCCTGTACACTTCTACTTCTTGGCCTTGCATTTTGCGATCTAATATTTTCTTCATCCATCTCAGCGTCCATTCACTGTAGCCTAATTGAGCATTATATAATAAAATGAATATGTCATAAAGCTCAACTGCTTTTCGTTTGGTTGCGTTCAGCATTACCTGCCAGAATGATACCTCCTAACGATGCCATCGCTATGACGACTGCCCTCACTCCCCTCACCCCCTTCCCCTCACTTCCGACCTACCACGAACTCGGTTACAATAAAACCAATTTATCAATTATGATACAATGCATGCTTCTCGTTCCTTCTAAGTAGATACCATAAATATTACCGCAAACGTCAGGGGTTGCAGAAAAAAAATCGATTTATCTAACTATAGTTAAGTACCAATAGCCAGGCACGTAGCGAGGGGGAAGGGGCCCATTGGCCATGCCCCCCCCCTCCCCCCCCCCCCCCCCGCGCCAACACAAAATCCTGTCTACGTGCCTGCCAATAGCAATAGCAAGTACCAATAACAAGTTTATAGCTACAGACAAGAGGATCTCACGTTATGGAAACAAAAATCGTCCTACTAAGCCCTGTAGCGCGCGAGAAAATATCCAGGCGTTTCTGCAGAAAACCACATGAGGAACGCAGCAGATATGCCTTCCTCATACGCGTTCTAAATTTAAGTGGAAAAAGCTTTGAATTTTTTCTCGGCGGGGATTAGGTAAGATACTAGATTTCCACGGATAGTAGATCATTTTGTGAGCAGCTACAAACTTGTCATTGGTTCTGGACACCGACCGGCAGGAACTAAAATTAATAAGGATATATAACTTGATTAGTTAACTAAATCGTACTTTATTAAATTCCTGGCGCTTACCGTTGTTGGCAGTTTGTTGCCGAAATTTCTAATTCTTTCTGAACTACCTTGATTTTTAGGGAATGTTTTGTAATTACTCAGACATCCCGTATATTCGAATATGGAAGTTACTAAAATAGAGGTGGGGCTACTCTTAACAGGGTGTAAATGGTAAAAATGATCGAATACTCAAGAGTTACTAATTTCTTGTCGGAAATTTGGAGGTTACAAGGAAACATTTTAATAAAATTGAAAGCTGAGCTGGGTGGTAGTTTTCCATAAGAGCGCAAAAGGCGAGGACAAATGAGAAATATATACACGACAGAAGAAGAGCCACGCAGCGCATGACTTGTCGCAAATGTTCCTATTTTGCCCTAATCGTTTGCGCTGTTGTTGATGAGCGATTAATTGAGGATGACATTTTCATAAAGATTGCTCTTTGTGAATTTTGAATGTTTTGGTTGCGCCACCTTCAACGTGTTGGTCTGTTTCAAGGGAACACAAACAGTTTTTGTTTCAGGCTAGTTAAGTTCTCTTTTAAGCACAATTCTTAATGAACATGTAGATGAAAGGCGAGCGTGTGCATCTTCTACACGCTCTGACAGGAAAAAAAGCAGCTTGATATCTCGACCAGCTGTATCCTGTGACGACAAATGAACTGTCACCCCCCCACGCACTCATCGCCCTCACGGCCCTCACTCACCCTCAAACTTATACATTTTCCTGGTTCAGAAACTCACTCACCCTCACCTCACCTGTGAAGATGAGGGTGAGTGAGGGTGAGTGAGGGTCCTCATGATAAAGGTTTGCCGAGGTATGCGTAGATGTTCCTCTTTTACCGTAGTCTTTTGCGCTGTCTTTGATCACCATGTACAAGAAAAGAATAATTGAGAATCGCACTTTCTCAAAGATCGTTCTTTGTGAATCCTGAATGTTTTGGTTGCACCTGTTTCAAGAGAACACAAACTGATTTTTTTTTCAGGTTATTTAGGTTTTCTTTTAAGGACAATTTTTAATGAACACATTACATACTTAAAAAAATGGTGTCGTCTTACACCCATTGGTCCCATATAATGCACCCCCTAAAGGCCTGTTCACACTCTAGCAACTGAGTACAACCGAGACCTGTTGAAACCTCTTAAAATTTCTTAGGGCGAGGAAGCGCACTGCCATTCTGGCGCCATCTATGCCATGACCCTGGAACTGCATTTCACAAGAGCGAAGGTTTTGCGGGATTTCCGTAGTTGAATGTGCGTTATACCTATAAGAAAGGCTCGTTCATAACGCCGATAAAAGGTTTTCGAGTCAGAAAAAGGAAGGATAATGCGAGACAAATAGAGAATATGCCGGACCGCCAAGTTTCCAGTGCTACGCAATAGATGGCGCCAGTGTGTTCTCTCGTTGTAAAAGATATTAAGAGGTTCCAAGGCACCAGGTTCGAAGAGGTCGCAACTGTGTGAACGGACTTTAAGCTTTCATTCGACGTACAGTGCACTGACGTCGGACAGGCGGCCCTCACTTTTACGAGGGTTTTGAGAACGGCGACATATACCCCATTTAACGGTTGGAGTGAATAAAAAACAAAAAAAAAGAAAAAAAAGCATCGAGGTTTTGCAGTAGGACCCAGGAAACCCCGAGAACTTTTTTGTAGTGAGTAACACGTAGATTAGCTATTTTAATCATAAGTACCACTTGGCTATCAAGCCGCTTGTGGATGTTGGTAACGTCGGTTAGACGTCAGCGCGGTGACCGTCGAACTGAAGTTTTAGGATGTCGTATATGGATGGAACAAGGGGTGTAACAATATACCCTTTTTTTTCTGAGAGTCTTTATGAAAGGCGTACATGTGCACCTTCACGCTCTGACAGAAATAAACAGCTTAATATCTCGACCAGCTGTATCCTGTGACGACAAATAAACTCTTACGTATTTTTTATGTCGGTTCATGCGCCTATGATCATCACTGTCACGGGCGTGGGTAGGCGATGCTGAGAGCCAGTGCTGTGCTACGTGCATTGTTAAGGTTGGGAGATTTACGTCATTAATACGAATGGGTTGATTTTTACCGGTGGCCCGAAGCTCAACAGTGAGGTATGGTAGTCTTAAGTCAAGGCTGCTAGATAACCTTAGTTGCAGATCTCCCACGGATAAGCCCCATCTCGCCTATTTATCACTCAAGGCCGCCGGATCAACATCGCCCAGAAGAGAAGGCCTTACTGCTGACATTTTTGCGTCATCAGCGAAGGCCAACGCTGGGCACAGGTTGGAAACGAGTCCTTCGTCAGCACTCGGCTTCCAGTCAAGTTTGGGCCGAAGGTTGACGCAATCGTCGTGTTCAATCTGTGACCAGGGTTGGCTTTTGATGATAAAGCCGCCGCATAGCCGAGTGCTTTTTTAATATTTTTTTACTTGAGAATAAACAAAGTCCAATCCAATTTAATGATATTTAACCTCCACCCGTCCCCTGATTTTAGCCTGCATTCCTCTAATTTTGTTTTTGTTCTGAGCTCTACTTTGTCAAATCTTTTCGTCCCACCATTCTCACTCTAATCCCAGGTCGTGGTCAGCCACCAATCGTTTAAAGTGCCATCCAGAGGCTGCACTTCAAAACCGCGTTCCCTGTACCGCTTATAGTGAAGTGTCATCTAGAGGCTGTGCATCCAAAACCTGTGTATTCCGTGGAGTAAACTGTAGTTACCAGAACTTCCTTTTCACAAACCAGTCGGAAAGGCGCCTTCCAGGCAGGTACTTGAGAAGGGGAAAGATTTTCGCGAAATGCGTATCAGTGAAATAATTGTAATACGAAAGCTAGCGCATAAGGGTTAGGAGTAAAACATGGGAAGTAATAGCTTCACAATTAAAACGAGGGAAAACATATATACCTGTTTATAATTTTCCCTATTCAAATGTTTAAACGTTTTACTGAGACGAACCTGCCGCATAAACTGTGGCGGGAAAGTCACGGCTGAGCGTAACTCATAGATTTAGCGATCACCTCCGAGCTACCAAAGCCTTTTAGGACTGGATCTGTTAAGCACAGCTTAGCCTTGATATCTGGGTGGTGTTGGCTGTTCCTAAACGTAGCTTCCACACACACCACCGTCCCCCTCCCCAAGGATCCCCCCCTCACCTCTCTCCAAAGACTATTCTCGAAAGCCGGTCGTTTTTGGAATACGGTTTTCGTCTGACAAATCGCTCGTTTCAGGCCACTAGTCGCATGTTAGCTTACAGCGTGATGTCGTACTTAGTAGATAGGGGCACACAAAAAGGGGCGGGGTGAAAGCGCCACAGTCGGAGTTTGTTTGCCCAGGGCGCTGGATGGTGTAGGGTTGGCCCTGCGCTTGAGTATGTAGCAGTACTTATTTATCTTACGCGAGACATTTCGGCGTAAAAACATTTTTTTTCTAAAGCTCGCGCACATGGTTTTCAGACAAAACATACAAAATTTGGGATGGAACTCAACCTCAGCAGTAGATTCTCTTCTTTTTAACCTTTCATATAACTGGGCGTTTTTTTCTAAAGTTACGAAGGGAATTCATTGCCATAATTGCCTCCCTCCTTGCTTGTATTATAAAGTTTTGGTTATTCATACATGGCAAACACTTCAGCAATTTGCGATGCTCTTTTTTTCTAATTTAGCGGTTTTTTTACTTTAAATTGTTTTCGCAGTTATGAGCATGTAGGGTCGCATCTGCGCGTTCCAGTTTCAATGCAGTAAAACAAAACAAAAAAAACAAAACAAACATGCGAACATAAAAGTTGACAAGAGACCAGGTGCGTGCGATCATGTAGTCGATGCATGTTTTCTAGCTCTCTGGAAAGTGTCTGGAAAACATTGCTTTGCTGCGCATAACCCAAAGCGGGCATAACGATTGTTGTCTCGCTGCCAGAATGAGGTAAATGAACTCAATCTTCTTAACTCACCCTCCACAAATCGCCGTGCAGGTAAGCGATTCTCCGTCATTGCGGCTCGTTTGCGCTTCAATCCTGTGAACTCGGTAGTCAGCGATAACTCACGAAACGATGAACGCGGATACCATGACATCGGTTCCGGCTTCGCGATGGGTTTTTGGGCATTACTATCGGTTTTTGCCGCATTCTTATCCACTGCAGAGCTCCCTTGTGAACCTCGGGATTTAGGACGCCCTGTTCTCATTAAGCTAGGTGTGGCTACAGATGACTTCAAAATAAACCTTTTTTTGCCAACCATAGTGTCGACGGGCAGTTTGCATCGTGGAAAAGATTTCTTAAGCTAAGGTTGGGAAATGAACTTTTGACTACGCTAATTAAATTGTTTTATGTAGGACAAGAACGTTTCTTTGACGATCCTTCTTACAAGATTCAAGTGCCTCGCCTGAAGTCTACTCAAATGTTGCGACAAAAATGGTGACACAAGCAGTCTGGAACGCGACGCTATTAAGCTAGGATCGTTTTGTCATTGTATAGTTTATTAATTAAATGTAGAAGCGACTCGTCCCTTACCGTGTCGCCTTCTCAGAGCGTGGCAACGTAGTCGGGAACATGAGGTATGACACGCAGAGGTTTTCCTCATTTCTCGAATGGGGAGCCGACTGGGGATCAGATATTTCCTGGTTTCCAGATGATGAATGTTATGAACTGCGTATTTTATTCTAAATCATTTTACCACCTGCAACAAGTGGATTGGATTCATTTGATATTATCCGCCATAAATTGTTAGCGGGATGTTCAATAATGTACTGCAATAGCTCTTTTACAATCATTTATCCGCGCAATCGTAACCAAGCAGTTATTTATAGTTCCACTTCAGCCACCGCTTTCAGGACGAAGGCTAAATATGTGTTCACGAGGAAACGAGGGCAGAAGAAGTAGCCTATACGTTGAGAGGCACAGTTAACTCAAACACAGCATCGGCGCATCTTCGAATTTGGCTCGTGTACACTCTAAAAAAGGCCCGTGCGTCTACTTTCCCGCATAGCACTCGGAGAGCTAATCACCGCAACTTACGGAGGCAGCTCAGCGAATGACGGTGGCGAAACTTAGGTTTAGTCCAAAAAACGGAGTCTGAGTTGGGGCATTAAGCAATCTTAATGTCACAACTCAGACTGCGTTTTTGGTCTAAACATGTTTCGGCATCGTCATTCGCTGAGCTGCCTCCGTAATTTGCGCTCATTGGCTCTCCGAGTGCTGTGCGGGAAAGTAGACGCACGGGCTTTTTTTAGAGCGTAGTACAGCTCGCACCACAAAAAAATTCACGAGCCTTTTTACACCTCAAAAATAAACGACGCCTTGTCGAACGCTCAGCCTTTGCGCTAATGTAGTGCTAGCGAACCAATCCTGATGCCAAAGTTTGAGAAGTATCCGGCGGCTTTTTCAAAAAGTTAGAAGTGGTTTTCTAATCATTTCAATAGAAAATGGGGCTTGTTTTTAGTGACGGGCGCCATTGAACTCCTGGTATTGGAGGGGCTTCGTCTGCAGCCACCTTATCACTCAATATTAAAAACAAAAATAAAAATTAACCATTACTTTCTAAAAATGTTATGGCTAGATCTGAAAATTTGGCGTACGTTTCTAACCGCTAGCGCCACATTTCGGTGGAGAACGGGCCTTCCGCGATGCGTAGTTTAATACTGCAACCAAAGGAAGAAAAAAAAAACTTCATATTTTGAGGGATATGTTATATATTGACGAAAGCATACGTTTATTGCCGCAAGCGATCCCACCGCAAAAGCGATTTTGATAACTGCTTTGTCTCTGCCACTGGAAAAAAAAAAGTCTGGCGATGCCTCGTTCGATTTACGTCAAGCCCTGTACCCTGGATTACGTCAGAGGATGCTGCCTTTCAATGATTGTTATTTTACAACAGCTATACCCGACGTTCCGAGTGGTCCAGGATACGATGAGTGACAGAGTCAGGTGGCCTAACTAAGGAATGCGAGCGGGTCTTATTACCATGAATCATCACCAGCTCGCTGGTTTTTTTAAGTATTATTGGGTTGTTTTTCTTTATTATAGTCAAGTGGGAATGACGGAGAGCGCAATGTCGGCAACTAATGGTACGTAACGGCCAGATGGGCATGGCTGACAACTCCGGCGTGCATTGCCAAAGATTCGTTCCATCAAAGTCAGCGCGGGTCGGTATGTGTTCGCTGGCAGAACCCAGAGTTTGGAATACAAAATCGGAGCTCTTTTCTTTGTGCGAACATTTTTAATCTCCCCTTTTGAATGCGAATTTGTTCAGCGCACTGAGCTATTCATCGTAAGCGGTATGAACGCCACGAAGAGAGGAAGTGTCGTCATGATTATTGTGACCCGTCTTAATATTGCTGTGCTCAGCTATTATTTATTGCTTCGTTAGAATCTTGAAACGAGGCACTGCGTCTCTAAAACGTTTCGTTACTCAAACAAGATATTTAAAATTAGTTTAGTAATATAATACCTCTAAGAAACGCCACAAGTATTTGCAGAGATAATCATGGAAGCTTAGTTTTACCTCTCTAAGAAAATATATTAAATTCATTCTTTTCAATCTTGTTTACTTCTGAGCACACTTATTAATTATTATTCTATTATTTGCATTTGTTCTTTTTTATACTTTTAACGTACTTACAAAAATAATGTTTTACCTTTGAGCTCCAACGAGAGGGTCAGCATGCTGTTACAATATTCCTGCGTATTTTTATTGTTTGTAAGATTTTGTTAATAGAACGATAATACCGCAGTTTAGATCGCCCTTTGAACATTAACATAACACCGCAAGAGAGCCCGATCGTTAGAACTCTTTGCCCGTCATTTATACCGCACACACAAATGTCCGTATCAGGTTAGTACCCGTAGGAAGGTTGCCACGAGGCTGGGCGGCACAAGCTACTGCCCTATACAAAAGATGCACACAATATCAGAATTCCATGCACCAATCCGGCGTTTTTTTACTATAGCTTCGCTAGAGTTTCTTGTTGTTCTCTAGGTATGTCTCCGAAACGCTTTCCGGCCTACCAGGATATCGACGGGGTGAAGTACGCTTTAGGGTACAGGGCTGTCGATATCCGCGAGGCCCTCAGCTACATGCCCCGAGATGGTGACATCGTCATGGTATCGCACCTGAAATGCGGTAACAACTGGCTGGAACAGATAATGCAACTCATCCTTTACAAGTAAGGATTGTCAGTGATATCAGTTTTTGCTACACGTCTTTTGGAAGGGCTGCATGCCAACCACACTTAAAGAAACGGTAAAAAACAGATATTTAATAAATCGAGAGATATATTAGTGTGAGCCAATTGGCCAATTGCACGAATGATGTGACCGTCAGATGTTTCGCCCTACACTCTAGAAAACCTTGAGCTTCATTCTTCCTGCAAAGCGCCTGGGAAAGTAAATCGCAACAATACACGGAAATGACGGGGTGTGAAAATGTGTTGAGACTTCAAAATGGAGTCTACACTTTGATACACGTTGAAAAGCAGCTTGACGTTTCACAACGGTCGTAGCGCAGATTGTTTTCCTCAGTCTATTAAACATGCTTTCAGCATGGTCGTTCGCCAATCTTTTTTCTGCCGATTGGAGCAGTTTACAGGTGCTTTGAATGTGCTTTGGAGGTTCCCAGGTTCTTTGAAGGAAAGTAGAAGATCCAGATTTCGCAGACTGTAAAAGTAAAATTTTTACGTGGCTTTAAACGTCACGCAATGTGACACCGTTTGAGTTCGTACCGTGTTGCTTTACCAAGGCGAGTACATAAAACACTTCGGTTAGTAATCATTAGGCTTCCCAGCGTAGTTTGCTTTTGCGCTCTTCCTCGAGGAATTGGGCAACGGGACATAAATGAATTCGGGCAAGCGACGTAGTTTTGGTAATTTATACTGCTTACAGTGAATGCATCTATTACGTCATTTTACAGAGGACAGTCCGCCAAAACCATGAGCGAGTTCCACCAACGAACGCCCTACCTTGAACTGGTTGGCACGAGTCAGCTGGAAGCCATGCCGCCTCCTCGTTTCTATAAGACGCACTTCCCTTACGAGCTGCAGCCCATCAACTCCGAGGCTAAATACGTGTACATAACCAGAAATCCACTCGACGTCTGCGTTTCGTTCTACCATTACACATGCCTCATGCCGATTTACAAGTTTGACGGCGGTGCCTTTGACGACTTCTTTGAGCTTTTTGTGACTGGCCAGACCGACCACGGGGACATCATCGACCATCTAGTGTCCTGGTACAAACACAAGGACGACAACAATGTCTTAATCCTCACGTACGAGGACCTCAAGAGGGACTTCAGAAACACCGTCTTGAGACTCGCTTTCTTTCTTGGAGAGGAGTACGCGAGGTCGCTGGAACGCGATGAAGAACTGTATCAGGGGATTGTGGAGCAGAGTAGCATCTCGTTTATGAGCAAGTTTCTTTTCCTCAAGGATGACAAGCTGAAATCGACAGGGGTACGCGGTGAGGATCCGTATTCGAAAGCTGTAAGAAGGTTTTTGTGCGACGAGCCTGGACAGTCGCGTCGCATTGAACTTGTGAGGAAGGGTGCGGTTGGTGACTGGAAAACGCTTTTCAAGCGACAGCATCTCGATCGTCTACGGCGTAGGATCCAAGAAAAAGGGGCCGCTCACATTCTTCAGGACCTGTGGAAGGCTGAAGATTTGGGAGGACTGATTTAGATTTTTACGCAAATTAACACCGATGTAAATTTTATAATTTGCATTAGTCAGAGGCAAGGCTAAATTTAAAATAAAATTGGATATACGCACATCTGTGCACAAAAAAGTTCTGAAAAATAAAGGACAACACGGTCTATTTTGTATTTCAGAGGATATATCTATAAACGCAAGGTGCTCGTGGACAGAATATTTCTCGCATATAGTTTTTTTTCGCTTGTTTTGTTTAATAGTCAACGCTAGTATGTTTCGCGCCTAAAACTCGGTAACCTTTAATTGGTGTGTGCGTGTGATAATAATAGCTGGTGTTATTACTACCAAATTAGACAGGTTAGTGAATGTTGGACAGGTGAAGCAGACTATTTCTATTTGCATAAAACCAATTGCAGGTCAGTCGCGCATTTGTTTATAAGAACGAAGACGCATAACATGATTATTAACTATATATAATTTTTTATAAGAGAATCAAGTTTAAAATTACCGGTAGTTTTTCTTGGTTGCGCACTTGATATCGACCAATAGAAAATCCAGAGCAGGAAGACGTGCTGTTAAAATCCGTAATATTCGTCGTTCGCGTGTCATGCGTTGATATCGTCTCGTAAATCAGTTAAAGGGAGTGCTTTTCGGGTAAGTAGATGCGTAAGAGTTGTTTCTAGAATGGCTTCTTTCCTACGGGGAAATACGGACACACTTAGCTCTGAATAAAGTGTAGATTTTGAATGGTTTATATCAGAATTGTGTCCTAAATTTCATTTATTCCCTAATTTCCGACTATCTGATAATGTTTTTACTAGGATAAAAGAAGATTAATGCTATAATGGTTTTTACGCAATCTACGTCGAAATGAATTCGGTTGCATACTGATGTGCGTCGTGATGTTAAATCTGTTCCTAGAGATTGGGCCGGGCGATTGCAACTCATTTGTGCGCGACATCCCTCAGTTGCATCGATTGGAAATGTGTGCTAGCACCGAAACTCGCATGCTATTTTTTTTGGCTTTCTTCATAATTCACGATGTTTCGTGATCCACGACTAAATACAGGCAGCTGTACATTGCAGAATTTCAGATCATTGATATTTAAAAAAGTAAGATTTTAGAATTTCAACCGTCTTTTTTTGTTTGTTAGCATATTGAACGAAAGTAGCGATGGCGCACGTAAACAAAAAGAACAAAAGTGGGAAAACCTGAATCTCAAAGAGAAAGGCAAGCGCGAATCTGCGTTACATTTTTACACTCCTATGTTGTCCGTTTATTTGAAGCATAACTCAGTACAAACTATCGAAGCGTCAAATCAGCAGCTTTATTGCGAGCGTATGATAAAGAAAAGGAAACACCGAAATAAGTTTACCTTTTTCGTCCTTTCCCGGGTACTTCCCCTATCTTCTGAAAAACGATTACAATTCTCATATAATGTGCCACACGTTTGCGCCAAAACAATCACGCACTAAGCCACGCTCTCCACTTATTGAAGCCACATCGTTTTGTGCCAAGAAGGTCATTCAAATGAAAACGGGTCGAAATAAAGAGTCAGCCCAAGGAAAGAACCTGGGTACTGCAACACGTGGCTTCGGCCAACCTGTCCCAAATTGCGCGGCTTTGATAAACTCGGCCACCCATTTCTTTTTTATTTTCGATATTACGTGGGTAATCCTTCTTACCAGAAGCGAACCTGGCCGGCTTGCTAGAATTAAGCTAGAATGAGCATCTCAGCTAACCGCTCATTCACAATGGAAGCGGATCCGCGTTCGCATAGCGGTTGCGAACGCGGTTGTTCAAAGATCCAGTACAACTGCACGCGCATTGGGTGTCATCGAGTGCGCGTGCAATTGTACTCGATCTTTATACAACTACAGTAATACAACCGCGTACGAAACCGCTTTGTGAACGTGGATCCGCTTCTAGTGTGAATGAGCGGTTAGACTGCTCGAAAGAAAGCATTGCCGAAGCTAGCACACACGCGGAGTGGCGCGCGAAGTCAAGTCTCAAGCGCTCGCGCGCCCCACGCTTGGCAGGCATGAAAGGAGAGCAGCGTGACTGGCGCCCCGCTGCGGCGGGACGCCGAAACAGACTACTCCCGAGCGAACAAGTATGTTTCGTGGCCTCGCCGCTTCAAAAGCTGTGCGCTGACGTCTAGGTCCCCCGAGAAATGGCTCTTTAATGCTCTGTGTCACCAGGTCCTCGCGCTCCAAATCCGCGACCGGGCACTCTGTGGCTCCGCCGTCGAACTGCCGGGCTTTGTGAGCATAGAGGAGGCCAGGGCATAAGGTACCTATAACGAAAGAAGTGATCCTATGCGCCTGGAAACTGGGGGAGAGGAAGAGACAAGAGCGTGCGGGGACATCAGGACGCTAAGTTCTGGTTGGAGCGTAGACCTCGATCTAGCTGCCTTTGTCTGCACTGCGCTCACCGAACGCGGTAGAACACGAATCGCCGCCGTTGGGCGTTTGACGCTCGCATTCGAACGGCTTCGACGATTGCAGCAGAGAAAAAGGAAGCTTTGGGTCCACTAATCATTCGAATCGGAGCTGGGCGTCCTGAGGTTCCCGCTCGCTTTCGTCTCGTTCTCTCCTTTATCTTCTCGGCGCGTAAAAAGAACACTTAAAATATACTTTTCCCACATGTGGTCTTTTGTATACCTTTCTTTCGTCCATCCTGAAGGGACAAAACGCAGGCACGATGGTTATTCGAATGAAGGCGTACAAAAAATTCAACACATCCTTTCACCTTGCGATAAACCGCAGAGGGCGCTTTCAGTAATAGAAGCTAATAAAATGCAGCATGAGTGTCACGTGACCTTGGGGAAGGATGCAGTCATGTGACGCCTTACCAGCGCTAGATTGGCTCAAAACGGCGCTGCAGTTCTTTCTAAAGTGAAACAGAGTATAGTTAATATAATCATAAGAAGCCTCTAATGCTTGCAGAAAAGAACCCCCCCCCCCCCCCCCCCCCCCCGATATTCCAAAGACAATAAAAGCCTGAAAAAGCATGTTTATTGTATCTGGGAAAGTCCTTCCTCGCTTCAGAGCGGGAACAAAAGGAGTATGCTATGAGAAACTACAGCCTGGGGAAGTGGGCAGCAGCGACGGCTTCATTCAGCAGTTGGAGGTAGTCGTTGTAGAGCAGAGTGTAGAGCTCGTGGTTCACTTTCTTCTCCACTTCCTCGATAAATTTACTCCTGCGCGCAGCGTTCAGGTTCAGTTGCCTGTCGTACTGCGTGTTGAACCGGATCTTGTCGATGTGGAAGGTGCGCACTTTGGTCAGTCTTCCCGACGACATGGCCTCGAAGCGACCGACCGTGTCCACCACATTGACGGTGATGGGAATGCGCTTGTCCGTGGCCAGCAGGTTATCTCCTTCGACCTTCGGGGGAAAAAAAAGTGCTCCATTTTAATTCTAGGGAAAGTTCGTCTGCTTCTTTCGCGGGGGTTCCAAGGACATCAGAACTACGCCGACCTCTGACTGGCTCTGATAGGAAGGATAGTGGGTAGACCTCGAGGCAATTAGCAATGAGGTCTACCCACTACCTTTTCAATCAAAGCCCATCGGAGCTCGGCATACTGACGTCAATGCAAACCCTGCCATAGCCTCCTCTATACTGACAAAGCCTGGCAGGTCGCCACGAGAAGCGGCCGCCGAAACGGAAAAGGTGGAGCCGCAGACAACGGATGAGAGGTTAGCCACGTGACTGGCGCCCCGCTGCGGCAAGACGCCGAAACACACTAGTCTCGAGCGAACGAGTGTGTTTCGGGGCCTCATCGCTGCAAACCCTATGCGCTGACGTCCAGGTTCTCCGAGAAATGGCTTTTTGATGCTCTGTGCTACCATATCCTCGCGCTCCAAATCTTCGACGGGGCATTCTATAGCTCTGTCGTCGAACTGCCAGGCTTTGTAAGTATAGAGGAGACTATGCCCCTGCGAAAGAAGCGGACCGACTTGCGCTCCGCATTGGGAGCGTGTGATACCTATATGCAGCTCCCTAGCAGCTTTATTGGCAGCTTTACTGGCAGCTCTACCAAAGACAGCGTTCGTGTAACGTCGCGCAGTGAAGCGCCGCCGCCAGTTCACAGCTCTTCTAATGCGCTCGCAGCGTCTTGGCCGCCCGTGCGACTCCCCGCCGCCATAATTCTCGAACTCTCTCCGGAATAAACAGTTGGAACCTTTACATGCAAAAACCAATCCGCGTCCATCGTTGCTCCGTATGCGTTCTCACGTCGTTCGACCCGCAAGGTGCTGCTTAAAGCTCGGGATCGGTCGCGGCCCTCGCAGGTGAAAGCAACAACGACAGCAACGTAGCGCCATGTTTTTCGCTTATTTAAAATGGTACACGCGTCTTCAAAGCGTTGGTGTGTTGGACGGTCCAGTAATCTATACGCGACAAGATTCACAGGGCCGGTGATTGATAAAATGCACATGAGATGTAATATTTCCTCTTCTTTTTATTGGGATTGCTCTTCGCTCCCTCATGTATCGAGTGCACGTACTGGGATCGAGATTATCGCGGTTGTTTTTGCCAGCGCATGAAAGGGTTCTGAAACCTCAGTTTTTGGCTCTTGTGTAAAGAACAAAAAAATATTGTGCCGACTGTACCTTTGAGCGTTTTGTACAGCGCTGTGCTCGGGTAGGCTGCCACTGATCAGATGGTAGACTCGACAGATTCACGGGATGTCCATGCTAAATGCTTCTGCCAGTCCGTCCAAAATTAGAATATGCTTCTGCTGCGTGGGACCACGCTCACTCGTCGCCAATTGCTCTTATTCCCGAATCCCACTAGAGGGACAAACAGAAAAGAACGACAGCGACAAGCCTCGAACACATGCAGCATGCTCGAGATGGTACACATGGCTGGTGTTCATTCGTTCGGTGCTTGTGAAATAAGCACGAGTGATCGTAAACCTGCCAAAGATACCCTCGCGTGCATGATGCTTGTGTTTAAGCATAGCCTGCTTTATTCTACAAAGCCTGTCAAATCGCGAAAGAATCAGGTTTGAGGCTTGTCACGGTCGGCAGTTTCTGTTTCTCAGTCTAGTGGAACTCCGGCGATGTTGAATCTATTCAAAACCGCTCTGCTGGTGTCATATTGACAACCTATCATCGCCACTGTCAGCATTTACACCATAAAAAACTTCCCCAAAAATATGCCTTTCCCGTCTTTTTTGCATAAAATCTTCGATCGAAATGTTACCCTTCATCACAAACTAATTACTCTACCTTTTTACATATCTGCTCGCATTGATTACGGCCATAAGGTCGGTATTCGAAATTTTATAAATCCCGCGTTTAAATATTTTTTATGCCTCAAACATCGATCGACTGGAACCACTTTTCCGCCTAGATTGCTTACAGCACTGATATTGTTTTGTTTAAAAATTCCGTTCCTGATATGTGCACCTTACGCTTAATATTTCGTAGTTCTCTCCCCCCTTGTACTTACGTCGAGGGTATTTGAAATAAACAAAGAAATAAATAGGAGCCCCAACGTGGCGTCACTAGCTTGTCGCTCGCCATCCAAAACTGTCGTCTGCGCGCTGTCATTTTTGCTCGGTGGGCAGTGCAACGTGTTTTAAGCACACGAAATAGCTCTCTCCTGCCTAACGTGGGATGCCGAGCCTGTCTCGACAGCGCAGTGACTCGGCATATTTGCGCCTGTGTGATAGGCCCTGAGAAGATGTCTATGCGGAGAACAAATCGTATGCTACTTGCGCAGGAGTGACGGTGACGTCAGAACGGCGCCGGGTTCTGATTGGCTCTGATTCAAAGGATAGTGGGTAGACCCCAAAGCTAGATAGATGCCTCGAGGTCCACCCACTATTTTTTTTTCAATCACCCAATAAGAGCTTGGCGTTCTGAGATCATCGGCGCCCATTGTGCAAAAAGCAGACCAACTTGGGCTCCGCATAGTCAGTGACCATGTCAAGAAACGCAGAGAATGGCAAGACGCGAGTATCTGATCATCGCATCGCAGTCAATCAGACTGCACGATAAACGGATGCCGAGGAACCAATCACAAACCAAAGAGCGATAACTTAAAAAGCCGGACCCAGCGTTTCTTCGTCTGGTAGTGACCAGAGTCACTGACGGCTCAAAGGGAAGGTGGAGCACTTTTACCGCGACGTTGTATATGGCTAGGGTTCCATGCATTTTTGGTGTCCGTGTGCAAATATCAGAAGTGAGAAATCGCACGTAAAAGCGCTCCATTGGATGGAAATGCATATACGCCCCGTCATCTCAATATGCCTTTTGATAAGGAAAGACGTTGAAACGTGTGATAAGGAAAATACGAACGAGAACAATGGGCCTTCTCCCGCTCGAGCCGGGTGACGTGTTTGCTTTACATATACAGGAGCAGCACAGCCTTCATATGTAAAGCATTATACGTATACATTTAAATTTAGCAAAGACACATAATTTTTAAGGTGTCTGGATTGCAGCTTTTACTGTTTGTTCGAATTCAATGAGATCTTTACGGATTACGGACGGTTTACTTCAATTTACGGACGGATTACTTTATTTTTTCGAACGGACTGCTTTAATTACTCGTTATTGAAAAAAAAAAAGAACATAATACAAAAGTGAAAAGGCGGTGAGAGTGCAGGCGAGCTAGTGGTAGCTAATCATGTCGTATTACACCTGAGACTGCGGTGGAAGAAATCGGAAGAACTTTCAGTAGAAGGAAGGATAATACAAAAGCTGGAGCAATATGATTGTGCGATCACTCGCTCGACCAAAGCTCAGCTTTCCTTTAATAAACGCAGAATATAGTGAGATACCAGCATCTTATCATCTTCCCCAGAGTCCATGTGCGTGCAACATTAACTAATAAAAACGTAAAAACAAACGATAAAAAAGACGAATTGCTAAGGAAGGCGCGTTTGCGTAAAATGCAACGACCTGCGTTTCTGAAGCTTCCAGTCAATACGGTATTCCCCTTCCCGTAGATTTTCTTTTTGTCAAACATGTTTTCTAGTTTTATTTCACCCCATCCTCAGGACGCTTTGTGGTGTACGGATAGTGAAGACTATACATTTACGCATAAAAATCTCGAAGCAACATCTCGGAGCACCATCTTGCCGCCAGTCAAACAAGCTCAACAGCACAGTGCGCAATGGTATATAGCTCCCGTCAGCGGACTGTGACGCACACAATTGTCTGACGGAGAAAAATATTTTCAGCGTCTGCTTTCCCGGAAGTAACCTGATGAGCCGAATGTTTCGATCCATGGCGAAACACCCAGTGGAGGATGCGACACGAAGACAAGGTAGAACTCAACAAATGCAATGTGGTCGAGGAAAACGATACGAGCGAGCGAAACGTCATGTTTGTTATCCCGTCTCAAATTAGAGCCAGTTTACAACAGCTTTGGCGGGCACACACACACAACAATTAAATGGCGTCATCGTCATGGCGCGCGCACCGATCTCGACCGCGTTTTGGTGTGACGCACGGCGACGACGCTGTTTGTTTTTGCTTGCGCAAAGTTTTTGCGTACGCTGCTCTAAACTCACCAGAGTAACTGACGGCTGAAGAAACGTATATTATGTTCATATTTAAAGGGACCCTCGAGTGCATTTTGAGAGCGTCTTTTTGTGGAGATAATTAAAAAAAAAACTCTAAACATCCTAAAAGGAAAACAATAATTACGCTTTTGGCCCTCCTATTTTTACTATTAAAAATCTAATCAAAGATCCTGACACCCTACTCCTTCTGATCCCTGGACAGACGCTAGGAAGCGCCGTCGGACAGCGTTCTGAAACATGAACTGACGTAGTACGTCTCCTACTCCGAGATATTTACGGATTTGTAAAAATATATTGCACAACGCACGTAAAAAAGAGTAATAATAATAACGCACGGGATTTCTACGCAATTAACTATTTTAATTGGTCAAAAATCACGGAGTTAGTAAAGACCTAAAATTCCCCCACCCCGAAAGAAAATAGTGCCCGCATATTTCTACGGCCGTGAGTTAACTCTGTTCGCCATCAAGTTGAGTCAACAGCCAACGCTACAAGCACAAGCTGGCCCACGCTCCCGGCTTTGAGCCGTGCATTTCTAGCTCGGGTGCTCGTTCGGCGGAACAACACTTAAAACTAGCGACTTAAAAGTAGGGAATATTGTATTTCAAATCTTATTATCAACAATGAGCGTTAATTGTGCTGAGCTTAGTTAGAATGCACTGTATGTCTTAAAGCGGTGTGTGGTGATACAATATGTTATGGCTTTGTAAAACGGTATTTTTTGTGCGATGCTTTCTCATTTATGTTAAAAATTTGTACAATTTCATTGTATAATTCCTTTAGTGCTTGCTTTGCGACTGCTTGTTTAGGGTGGCTAGGGGCCAGTTAAGTTGTTTTTACAGCTTTCTTTCCTAGTCACCTTTCAACTTTTTGTTGGAAAAATAAAAATATATTATTAATATTATTATTATTTTGAGCTTTTGCGCTCGTGCCATTGGCTGCAAACTCAGCCTAAGGGTCAAAAGAGTGTAGGACGTCTTGGCGTCCAAACTACTAATTTTCATTGAATAAAGCCTAACAAACAATAAGCCACCAAAAACAAGCTTCTGCAAAAAGCACTTGAGTGTCCCTTTAATGCTTTGTAATTCGTTTTGAGCCCCAGCTCCATGACGTGTTTTCGAGACGCCTCGGCCGCGAGGGCGTCTTCCAGCGTCGGAGCGCGTCGCTCCAGGCCACACCCCAGGATGCTACGCGCGCGAGGGCGCCGATGTCTGCCTCGGCCAGATCTCGGCGTAGCGCCAGAAGTGGCTCGCCGGCAGGCTTGGGAAGTAGTCCGTTACAAGCAACAGATCACTTCGAATCTGTTACTGTTGGCAATAATTGTGGCATTGTCCCGTTACTTTTTTCTTTCGGCAGTTATTTTTTTATGCAATTTCGTTTCTAAATATTGGTAACGGATTACCCTAATTACTCGTTACCTGGAAAATATGAAGGTAAGACAAAAGCTGGAGCCTTTTGAGAGTGCCACCACCCGCTCGACCAAAGCTCGAAAGCGAGCGCTCGCGCGCATCCATTTTTCGGTACTGCATGCAACTTTACCCCGTTCGTGCCGAAACTGAAAGTGCGAGAAAAGGTGCAGGCACGAGAGCGCAGCTTGGAGGCGCTGCGCTCACGCTCGAAAGGCCCGTTCCAAAAGGGAGCTTTCGTCGGTCAGTTCCGTAACTCCGTGACTCATAGCATGCGTAGACGCTGCGACTGAACATGCGCAACGCTAGTATTGTCTGCAGAATTTCAGTGATACATTCCGGTCGCCGTAAGCTTGCGAGATGGCGGGTGGGGTAGCAGCTTTTGCTGCCTTGACAGCTTGCAGGTGAGCCCAATTGTACCTACACATCTGTCTCTTAAATACAATATTTTACTTTACAAGGACTACCATAATGCGGGCGTATCAGAGCTAGAAAGTAGTGTTGCGGACCATTTTTCGAAGATTTTTATTCTTTGCTTGAGAATTGTGCGGGGAAAAGTAACGGAAGGTAATTTAAATTGCCTTACGTTACTTTTCCCCGCACAATTGCTGGTTACGTTGCTAATTAGCAACGTAACGAGCAAAGTAATCCTTTAATTTTCAGCCGAAGTAATTCGTAACGATAATGCATTATATTTTTTAATTTGTAATTGTAATTCATTACATTTTTCAAGTAAGGGGCACAAGTCCGCTTAGCAGGCAACGACCATTCAGGGTCAGGCGGGGCGGAAGAGAGGCCGGGCGCGCCCGGCGCGCCCTTATGAGCATCTGAGTCTGTCTCCGTGCAGAGACGTCTAGACACGTGCAGCAAGCTGTACAACGGTCTTGGAAATGGCAAGTAAATATTTTTCACGTAAAATTACCAGGAGATGTTTTCAAGGTCTACATAAACTTCTTTGCGCAACACCAATACCCTGTAAGCAGGTGGTTGTCGCCAATTGTCCGACGATGTAGGCCTAGCCGATCTGGCGGCACCGCGCAGCACCCGACCGACGCGAACTGGCGCACGTACCCCATGGGGTTCCTTCGCCCTGCTTCTCGTCAGCTGTCGCTGATGCGGAGAGATGCGGACGCCAACGATATGCGCGAAAAACGCGTCCACGTGGTTGGGCCTGTGTATGGAGGTTTTGTCGGCTAGCTCCGCAATATGGTGTGTTGCGGAGCTATATTAAGGTGTTCTGAGGTCAGAGCTCCCTGTGGTCTTTGAGCCGCCAGTGACGGCGCTCGCCTGAAATCAGTTTCCGCGTCTCGTTGGCTCTGGACAGCAATTGGCCTGACGCCTAGCTGCACTCTTCAGAAGTAGACGCACAAGCATTTTAGAGTTTGCAAGGGTCTGAACATTGATCAATTTTGTTTTCCCATGCTGAGCTGGCGTGTTGAGAGGGCTGCTTAGCGACTCATAAAACGTATATATATAAATTTGCAAACTTCGAAGTGTGAAGCGAGGCTCCAGGGAATCCCGGTGCTGTCACGTACCTTGGCCATGAAGGTGGCGTTAATTCCGCTGAAGTCCACAGTGCAGGAGAGGCTGGCGTCGAATCCGATGGCCGTCACAGGGCCGCAGTCCCCGACGCGGTGGACGCCCGTGTCAAAACCCCGGATGGCGCCTTGCTTCATCTTCACCTTCAGCTCCCGGTTCGTGATACCTGTCCTCTCTACCTGCGGAGCAATAAATCGAGAAATATAATAAATTGACAATAACAATTTCTCTTCCGAGCGTATATACAAACATCATGGAACGCTGGGCGGCTTGCATTCGGTTCAATGCATTCTTCAGAATTACAAGTATATCCCCTCGATAATTAACCTATATGTTTAAGATTGATTCCCTACACTGCTAAATATATCAATGAGTAATGCTGTACATACAACGCCCGGCTGTACGACCGGAAGTTGCTACGTGCTGAATGGTAAATACATGCACGGCGACCGCTTACTCTGGAACCAGAAGATGGCTTGTACTATCTAGCCGAATAATACCCCCTATTATTTGTAGTACTACTCCGCGTTGTTGAAGAAATTAAACTAGAGTTACTGACCCGACGTCCCTTGAGATTGACCTAGCATTCCTCTAACATATTTCTGTTTTGTTCCATAGCTTTGAGAATATGTTGTATCCTAGTCCTCTTTAAATCCTAGGCCTTTGAAGAAGTATGCCTCTTTGGGCAGTGCCATTGCGTTAATAAGATTTTGGAGCTCAGCTCTTAGCCGCCTGTCTCCGGGTTTCATGGTGTCGCCGTCGGCGTCGGCGTAATCACCCCGCTAAATTTAGCGGGAAATTGAATTTTTGTTGAGGTCACGTGACGTCAATTTCCCGCTAAATTTAGGAGAGCGAATGACGTCACATGAATGTGTCACGTCGCCCATGAACACATTCAGTTTCTTCGCTAGATTTAGCGGAAAAATATACGTCATGTGACCTCAACATCAATTCAGCATCTTCGCTAAATTTAGCGGGGGAAAACGACATCACATGACTTTGTGTCACGTCAGCCATGAACAAATTGAGTTTCTCCACTAGATTTGGCGGGAAAACTGACGTCACGTAACCCCAACACCGCTCTGAATTTAACGGAAGAGGAGGAGGGTCATATCCTCCCATCCGTACCCTCCCCTCCTCCTCCTCAAGAGCTGCACTCTAATTTCGCGTTACAGAGATTTGTAAACGCCTCATGTTTTTAGATTCTATAGTGACTTGTACCCGACGCTTCCCGCGTGGCGCACGCTTGGTAGCGTTTCAGCAGACCGGTTCCCATTGTCTAGAGTGACTTGAACATTCCGCGACTCTAAGAAAAGGCGTTTTCGCCAATTTCTTTTTTTTTTTGTCGACGATGATGCTGTTTGTGAACGCGATGGCCTGGTTCTTCTGCTAGCGTGCTCGGCTAATAGCTTGCCCTGTGTGTCCTTATTTTTAACATCATACTGATGCCTGCGTTGTTGTTCTAGGAGGTTTTTCCTCAACGTACGAGGCGGGGCAGTGACCACGAGCAATCCTGTAGATAAGTCTTCGCGAGTTTTTATTTTTATTTTTTTATTTTGGAGGACGATTTTTTGAAAGGCACAAAAGATGGTCGACGGTAGACTCTGGTTTGTGTGTCACAGCTATGCTGTACTTCCGCAAGACGAGACGCAAACAGGGTTGGAAGGAGGGACGGCGTCTTCTGCTCCCGTGATTGAGCGGTCGAGTTGACCTTGAAACGTTGGCTTCTCAAATTTTACATGGTTAGATTATTTGTTTGTTGTAATCTTTAGACTTCTTGCTTTGTGATTTGTTCTTGGTTTTCAGTTACCCGCTAACTCCGCAATGGCTTTCGCTTCGGAGCGTTAAGGGGATATTGGCCACTTGCCAGACGCTGGGTTGTCTAAGCACTCAGTGACAGCTTTTACACGGACTCGATAAAAGCGAGAAATTGTAACGAGGATTGAGAAGAAGAGGAAGAAAGAGAAGAATTGGGTGCCCGTGAATGGTCTGCTTTCGATGCGATGCGAAGCGCTTTGGTTGCATCCATGTAAGCATAGCCAGTGACTTTATAGAATATCGGTGGGCTTACCGTGAACTTAAACTCTCCGATAGTTGCGTTGGGGTAGAGCTTTGCCGTCCTTCTGACGAGTGCCGGCATTTTCTGGAGCAAGACATGGTCTAAGAAGTCGTTGGAGTCCTTGATGGAAGCGCCATAGGCTGCAATATATTGTGAGAACGTCAGTGGACAAACGGGCTACGGAATGTGTCGCAGAATCGTTCGAAACAGGGTACCACACTCTTGAGAGCCGTTTTTAAAGCGGCCCCTAACAGAATTAACTTTTGATACATTCTAAGACAAAACACCGAGACTGGTGAAAAGACGAAGGAAAACACAACACACAAGAATGTTAGACTTTTATCAGCTTGTTTGCGTCCAAACGTTTTTGTTCGTGAATTCTTGATGTATCACTTGCACCCAAGTACCGTTTAAGACAACGTATCGTGGTAATTGTTTGTCTAAAACGACTAATTTAATTGCACCTGCCTGATTCTAAACCGAAGACGAACGGACGGTAAGGGGATAAACATAGACGCCTCAAACGCAGCATTATATATTTTTTAACACGCCATGTTGTGTTGAATTTATTTTGCTTGATTATTTTTTATTTAGATGCACTCAAATGTAGTTAAATTTTTTATATATTCATAATGAGCACCTTACTTTGAATAACCGTTTCGTATATTAGTTTTCCTAAGAAATGTATGTTGGAATGTTAAGAAGTCGGAAGAATACTAAATTTTATTACGATACTAATTTCAACCAAATTTAAATATTGCAAGTCTTCACCAGGTTTACTGAAATGCCAAAACAACTAAATGATAATTCTTCAAGTGTGAAACTATAATAACTTCTAAATTTGTTTTGTAATTGATATACTGCAGCCACTTGCCTTGTGTACATTAGAGTCGTTGGTACCAAAATATAAGCGTTAAAAATATTTGATTATCAAAATAGTGTTAATTATGCAGAGATGTTTTGGCAAGAAACGTTCCTTGTTTAAATATATATTTGTAGTTAAAGGAGGGGAGTCTATTCCGAAAACGTTTGTGTCAATGGAACTCTGTCACTATTCAAATTTATTCGAACATTCGTAACGTTTATTCTCATTAAAAATATCTTATTTATATTCAGCTACGTTCAGTTCAATTTTAAGCACATCAGTTACCAAAATATAACTGAAAGCCTTATAGCTCCGCTTCACTTATTAATCGAAGATAAGAATAGAGGCTTTGCAGTTAGTCGTAGTTTTATGCAGATACAAATGATAATTTTAAGTGCAAAACAAAACATGCACTGAAACTGGCTAATACGCACCTGACGCTACGAAGGCAAGGAACAAAACGCTGAATCCAATCATCATCGTCTGTTGAATCCTGAAAAGCGAAACAATAAGTAAAAAGAACCTTATAATAGCCATAGATTCCTGGCGAGCTTTTGAAATACTCTGATAAAAGTTAAATATTATGGTATGTAAATAGAAATCAGCCACTACAGAGGCTAAAGCTATCTATCTCTCTAAGTGTGCCAAAGAAAACATATATTTTTGCAGAGTACAAAGAAAATCAATTGTTCTCATTTAAGAAAAAATCTCAAGATAATCTCAAAGCAAAAAAAAAAATTGTTCTACACACACAGACACAGACACACACACACACACACACACAGACACACACACACACACACACACACACACACACACACACACACACACACACACACACACACACACACACACACACACAAACGCCTATGCTGTGAGCTTGAACATGCTTTATGTGCACAGATCACGCTTGGTGTCAGACTGTATTTTTAGGAAACAAATAACTTCACAGTTCAAACAATGTTTTCCGCTTTCTTGGAAAAGAAGCTATGCCACTATGGAGGTTGTTTCAGGTGCGAGATGTCCAATCCACATAATTCGACTGCGCTTCTACGGAATTATATTTTCACAACCTCTCTTCCATCGATTGTTTATCCTATAAAGTCCGTATTCATCTATAAAGAGTGGTTTGGATGGCTAATGCTCGGGGACAGCGATGAAGGGACCAAGCGATAAAGGAAACCTCAGTATCATATAGAATTAAAATTGGTGAATTGTGATGTAATGGTTCCATTGTTTACAGTGACATCTTGGAAAAGAAAGAAGAAGAGAAGGATTGGCGTCTCGGGAAACGTGCTGAGGTGGTCCTGACCAACGTTGCTCTTGGAGGCCATGTTCTGTCGTTCACAGCACCATCACCCGAATCCCCACTACCAGAAAAGTACGTCACTAAGGCATACTCGAGTCACCCCGAGGCACCTCCACAAACCAAGGAAGCGGCGAGTGATCCGAACGACAAGTCAAAATTTCTTTGATAAATCTTTTTTTTTTTATTTCATTTATTTTATTAAATTTTAGTAACTCCCAGGTTCATATCTGCTTATCAAGAATTTAATTGTAAACAATGACAGTGTTTACAATCTTTGCCGCCATGGTAGCTAAGTCTTTAAAAAATAAATGCCTGTTTGCGTTACAAACTTTTCTGACCTCTAAAAGGAATGGCCAAGACCATTCCTCCTCTGTGAATGGAGCAGATTTTTTCAATAGCACTCTAGTATTTTTCTTAATTTTGACAAGTTTTTTCTTAATATGTTTCATTTTAAGAAATATGATATGACACATTCTTAGATACTCCATAACAAATACAAAGCAACAATAATTTATCTTTCTAGAAGAATTTTGTTTTCGTCTTTACATAAAAAAAATATAAATGCGCAACTCTTGTGTTTGGTGAGAACATATAAGGTTATCAGTAGAAAACAAATTGCCGCTCCAGCAGCTCACAGTGTGTCCCGATTTCTCAATTACCGATAACGCCTAAGCACTGGAGAGCTCTGCCATGCTTCTGTGCCTCCATGAAGGGTTCACCAAAATGTCACGCACATCTTTGTTTTTTCAAACCTGACCCTCGTGAATAGAAATGCGAAAACTAAATGACGAGGCATCGTTAGCCTTCTCCTCATGAATGAAACAATTTGTTCCACCGATATCGACTAAGCAAATCCCAGTTTTGTGGCGTATAGGGTCGCGATGCTACAACGCTTCAGTAAGGGCTGTTCGAGGCCCCGACCGTCCTCCTTCGCTATGCCGAACGTCTTTTCTGTGCTCGCTCACTTTCTCTAAGTTATGCGACCTTGACCGCTGATCGAGGTATGCGTTCGTCAAACGGTGGGCTTTCGCTCGACCTTCAATAAACCTAAAAGAAGGAACTTGTGAGGACTTAAGCCCCGTGCTATTATGCAGCGTCATTCACAGGTTGCGACAAGCAATGCACGTGCCGAGAGACGTATGCGCATAAAGAGCAGACTGTCCTTTAGTTCATTCTCCTACGAAAGACAACCATGATACATATGAAACTCGCACCGAATCACAAGTCGCCACTGTACAAAGAGTTTGGAAGAAGCGCGCCTTTGATATCTGAACTTCGGCAAGTGCTGGTCGAATAGGCGAAAAGTAGAAGTGCTTATGTTGCTAAACATAACCTCGTAAAAATAAGTCCTGATAGAAAAATAACAGTTTTTATTGGATCACCATTCCATCAGATGTTATTGTAACAACGAAAACATTGTGGTTTCTATTAAAAACAAGTAAGGAGGGGTTACATTCTGACAAAAATTCGAATGATCTGGACTTTGCGCCGTACACTGAAAACAATTATACTACACACTGACAGCTTAAAAAAAACAGTGCGTGGCCCGTCCGGATTATCTTATCATCGCTCTGCAGTCCATGAGATACTGTCGTTTGCCGATAAGAATGCGAAAGAGCAAATTACGAAGCAAGATGCGTGAACATGCCCCGCGTAACTTAAGCAGTCAGCGTCTGAAGTATAGGCGATCTATTAGGCGTGACGTAAACCGACATTAACAAACATAGTTCACTCACCACCACGACGCGGCATTAGCGTTCAAAATGCTCATTTGTATTAAATTTGTGCTTGCATTTTTACCATCGCTGTTTCTAAATAATAGCCGAGGCTAGGGAGCTAACTAAACTAAGAGAGAAAAATAGAACTTTAAAAGCAACCCTAAGTTTCAACAAAGTTAGAAGCTTCATGTAGGGACGTTTTTGGGGCTACCGTATTTTTTCGCCCATTTAAATAGTTGCATCACCATCGGGTATCCATTAAATACCAGGGCCAGCTCGAATGCTTCCTAACTTTCTATTACTATAGTAACAGTACTAAATCTCGAATACCATACTTTTCACCCATGCCAGGTCATGCGGTTCTTGTAAGTCCCTTTGTTGGGTAGCGTCTTGAAAATAAACTTGAAAGGAAATATCCAAAGGACGTAAGAGTTTTATCGGGCTTTTCACGAAAAGAGTAGTTCTATCAAAGTTAGCAAAAGTTCGGTCACCCCTCTGGGGTGGGGTATGTAAAATGGTTGTTTTCCCCGAGAAAGAATAAACGTGACGGTCAAAATAGAAGATTAGCGAACAATGGCGGGAGAAACGAGGCACGTCTGAGCTGCAAACGTCGTCCTCGATTTCAGACGTTGCGACTTGGTCGCCCCATTCACACTGGAATTCAAATCGTAACCATGTAGCGTTTTCATAATTAAATGTTTCTAAACTTGCATTGGATCTTTAGTCACCACGTTCGCAACCGCTTTGCGAATTCGGCTTAAACGCCAGTGTGAATAGGGCGTAAAGGACAGGCGGCACTTACCGAAGAGGTGCGGCTATCTCGGCCCGCCTTTGTCGTTCGACTGAGCGAGCAGGCGATACGTCGATCGGTGCTGAGTCGGCGGCAACGTGACTCCATGCTTCCTGTTCGTGCCCTCCTCGCACCGTGGACTTGTTTGCCTGGCAAGTCACGTCAGGCGCGTGGCGACATTGGAAACCTGTTGCCGGACACCCCCTCCTCCTTACATCTCTTGCCGAAGACAGTGCAATCCAGGCTTGCCCATTTGTTGAGTGGTCAAGGGGGAAGATGGACCGAAAACATATTTGGTATAACAACGAGGATCCTCTTTTATAGGCATTAAGTGTGGAGTATTGTGATAGCTTCGTCTGGAGCTGGAGAAACGTGTACTTTGAACTGGGCTATATTCTCTATCAGTTCACGATGAACCGTGGAAGTGTCTGCGAGACATCGAAACTTTTCCAATGCCGGCTGAGTGCACTTTATCTGCGAGAGGTCGCAACTTGAAAGAAATTAACATTTATTTTCTTTCGATTTTACGCGCCGCCGTTTTGCCAATCTCTACCTTTCTAATACAAAGGAACACCTACTCGCTTGCACGTCTGTTCAGCGTTTCGTTGAGGTCGGAAACCGGCGAAACTGCAAGGTGCAGTCTCATACCGGCTGCAGCACTTCATTGGGCAGTGAAGAGTGTTGTTTGTATTCAGAAGTGATCGTTGGCGAGCCACGATCACGAGCAGTTCCGTCGCACCCGCCGAGCAGGAGAACCGGGGGACCCTCACTAGAGCGCCTCCCATTTCCGCCGCGAGAGGGCGAGCGGCGAGCTGAAGGCAAAAATAGCAGTGTGTTTCCAACCTAGAAGTGTCTTCTTTTTTTTCGCGCATCATACAAGTAGATTCGTAGATTTAAATTTTGGTGTTCTTGTGGCTGACGCCAAAATCTCATTAGCTTCGGAGAAATAATAGGATGCCAGGAACTTGCTTTGTGGTGCATTTGTAAAACTCTCACTGACTTGAAGTGAGGATAACACTTTGGCGTGATTAGTTTGTGTTCGACGTCCTTAATATCAAACGAATACGGCATCATATTTGGCGTCATATCCTGTTGAGCCGCGAAATTAATTATATTTGAGGCGAGATGCCCCCAAAATGCACATGAGAGAGTAAATTAATTCGAGAGAACCGCCAGTAAAGAATCGGATTTTGAGCACATTTGCTTACACTGGTTCTTTGATACGTGACTTTTTATGACAGCACTCTTTGTGTGTGCTTCTGAATACGCCAGGGAAGACTGCGAAATACGATAAGAAACAATCAACTGGCGCTGACAGGATACGCTTTCTCTGATTGATTCGAGCACCGAACTCCGAGCGTCGCGTTATCGAAGCAATTAGCTTAGTGGCGTCGAGTGCGTAGGTTCAATGATCTCTATCGTGATACTTGGGAAATCCTCTGACGGCGCCGAGGAAGTATCCGAGACTTCTTTAGACCTTTTCACTTGGTTGACTCGGCGAAGGGACGTGGCGATACGAAACTATTATTTTTTGTTCTAGCTTTGTGTCTGGATGTATTTCAATTATCATTGTGATTACATTACTCTTTTTGTGTGTGCGAAGGGTGGGGAATGGGGAAGTGTTGAATCGAAAACTTCTACGGAGCTTTCAGTCTAAAAAAATCCCGCGCGTCTACTTTCCCGCACAACACTCGGAGAGATTGTCACTGCAACTAACGGAGGCAGGTCTGCGAATGGCAATGCCGAAACATATGTTCACACAAAAAAAAAAACAAAAAAAAACGCAGTCTGAGTTGTGACATCAAGCAATGCAAGCGTGACGTTTTGCAGTGCTTAATGTCACGACGCAGTTTGCGTTTTTCGGTCTATACATATGTTTCGCCATCGTCATTCGCTTACCTGCCTCCGTAATTTGTGGTGATCGACTCTTCGAGTGTTGTGCGGGGAAGTAGACGCACGGGCTTTTTTAGAGTAATACGCCGCTGTACTGAATTTACAGTGTCACCTAAAGGAGGCCAACGGGGGTCAAATATTTGACGCGACTGCTGCGTCCCTGTTCGGCTCGGACTCTCGATCAACCACTAAAAACCTGAAGGTCTCGTAGGTTGTTACAAAAATTCCTCCTGGTAAAGTTAACGGCTGGGGTCGGCTTTGTGTTTAAAAATTCCTCATTAATATTGTAAGCTTAATTTGATAATTATATTTTACGTTCGCAATTCAAAACTGTAGCAATTATTTGAGTAACAGATTTTTATCAGATTGTTAACACAGTTTCTCCTAAAGAGAAGGCTTTGCTTTTTGCAACATTAAGTTTCAAATAACAATTGGTAGTACAATATAATTTCAACACTTTTCTTATATATCGTTAGCGTGTGTTCGCGTATTTAGTGATACTTTTGCGTTTTCGTGCCCTTAGGCATTTTGTGTTAATTTACCTCATTTATATCTAAAACAGTCAAGGCCTTTCCCGTTCACGATTTTTATAAACTATTTCACAGAACCCTTCTCTAGACGACTCAGTAGAATGCCACGCACAATTTCTTGATTAGAACCACAAGTCATAACCGAATGTATTTGTCAGGAACATCCTGGAAATCTCATTGACCATCGACGTGTTGAAAGGATGCTGTGATTTTCCATGCTCTGTAAAATCTTTCAGCGAAACATCAGTTGCTGTTCAAGGGCTCTCAAAGGTTTCTAACCAAGTCCTTTTAACCAGCTTTGACTACCTGTGATTTTTATAACCTCAGAGCAATAAAACAAGTTTGTTTATTTCCAAATTTCTAAGGTGGCTTTAAAAACAGTATGTTTGAAACTTCGGTCACAGGTGGGTTCCCTTATTTCTAAGCGCTGCGTGTACCGACACAATGGGAAGAATAGTTCGAGCCATTAATATAATAATTCTTTACATTGTTCGTGCCCCCGAACAACCTGGGGCTTTTAATACAAAGGACACCAATATACCCATATGTAGAGTGTCTTCTAGACATTTAGCGTTCACATCTGCACACGTTTTTGCTATACCAGGATGTGCTCTGAGCATAATTGGGAAGCAATGCAAAGCATGTTTTGAAACTATACACTATAATCACTTCTTTCATCCAGACATCGGACGGCACACTAATGAGTTTGAAATGTACGTGTTGTTCCTCTCCGGTAGCGGACGCCGAGCGCATGCCGCTCTGGGAGATAATGGAATGGTTCGGCTCTATGCGAGAACACACAAGAGTTTTTTGGCCATGGCCATTTATTACAGTAAAAACAAGTCGATAATCCAGACGTGGTCCAGGCTAATAATGCAGTAGTAAACAAGGGCAATAACATTCTTAAAAGTTAATATTAATAAATAACACAAATAGTATAGCAACAAGTTTTGCAGAAGAGAAAACAAAACATCTGGACCGCTGATCGATGAAATCGATCAAACAATTGCACATCTTAGACGATTTTCTTATGTAGGTGACATTTTGTTAGCATTCTTGTAAGTGTGACAGCTCATATACACGCTGGCTTTCAGTACACTAACCACTTAGATCACAACTACAATTGCACATCTTATACGAATTTTTATGTAGATGAAACATTTTTAGCATTGTAGTAAGTGTGACTGGCCATACACATAATGACGTTTAGTGCACTAACTACGTTTTTTGCATGGAAGAGTACCAACACTTCCCACGGCCTGGGAAAAATAATACTGTTTTCGTTAATAACCTGCTACAATTCTGCAATGTTGTGATAACTTCATTTTCAAAATATTCACAGTACACAATGAGTTAAGCAAGAAAGATTGTTCGCTCTAAACTATCCAGAGGACCGCAGATGACTGCAGAACAGGTCTTCACCCCCAAAATACTAGGAAAAGGATTAAGCCTTAAGTAAAATGCTATACAACATATATTATAAGCTCACTGACAAAATCAGTCCCTATGATATGATGCTGTAGTTTACAATCATGATTTGTATAAATATAGCACAATAAAGGTGAAATAAGGAGCATAAATTGTAGCACTTCAAGTGCTTTGAACAAGGATGCTTATCAAGGAACCTATGAGAAGTAAACAATTATTTATGGCCAGACAAAAACAAAGAACAGTCGTTATGAATACAATTTTGCGCATCTCACATTGAATTTTCCATATCAAATTTCGTTCAGTTAAATATGAGACATAAAAGATAAATATCACTTGTCAACATTATTAAAATAGAAATCTTTTCTCCATTAGGGCTATTGTTTTAATAACAGAGAACTGGAGCCACAAACAATAAAATAATTATTTGGTTTTACTATTTGCGATTGCTATGTTACATACCTGAAAACAAACATATACAATAGTTAATTCTTACAGATAAGACTCTGCCGCCTCGGTGGCTTCGAGGCGAGAGCGCTGGCCTACGGATCTCCATGTGGTGGGTTCGAATCCCGGCCGAGGTGCCCGCAATCTGACGGAGGCTTATTTTGGAGGGGGCGCCGTGAAACCGAGCTTTCGGTTGCACGTCAAAATATCCCCAGGTGGTCGAAATTAATCCTCAGTCCTCCGCTGGGGCGTGCCAGATGCCTGTCGTTGCTTTGGCACTTAAAACTCACAAATTTGACTTTGACTTTAGATAAGACTCATTTTGTACATCTCCCAGATTCAAGCATACTATCGCGGATCGAATTACGTATTGCTTCAGTGCACAGTGTCTGTCTTATTTTTATCCTAAAGCCACAGTCGATATATATATTTCTGAGATAAATAGCTGTTCAGAAAGATATATTGAAACATTCTACCTTGTTGCTAATCAGTGTCAGGTAATATCTGGTAAGATTAAGAGGATGTATCCTTGGTTCACTCCGCTCAATTGCATGTATGGCTTTCTCGGTAGCAGCTGAACACCGAATGAACCTTGCTAAAACACTTAAAGCTAGCTTAGTGCTTGCCAGCTGAAGGTCTTACAGCTCGGGGCGATTCTGAGGGCCTTGATATATACATCTTGCACTTCGCAAGGAGTAGGGCGTAATGATAAGCACCTTCGTGCACCAGATGCTTTCACCCTATTTGGCATCTCTTGACACTGCAGGTCTCGAAGAGGGGCATGTTGATGTGGTTTATCACCTTGGATAAAATATATCTTAAGATATCCGAGTGGCTGACTCCACTGTGAACCGGAAAATCAATCACGTCTTGAGACATTTAGTTAGAATCACATATTTAGCATAAAGACATCATTTGTACATCTTTATCATAATGCCATCTCATTATAGTGCTGCGCAGTGTAATGACGTGACAAATTTGAGCTACAAAACCGCTGCCCAGTACTTGTAATTTATATAAGGCAGCTTTATTGTAAGAGCAAAAAATATATTATAATAGGGCGTCTTAATGTTGCCTCCGTTAGAAGAGTGGGGACACAGACTAAGGCTCATAATATTCGCACAATATATTATTTTTTAATCAAAAAATGTGTTGGGTGGGCTAGTGTCAACTAACGACACATTCAAAACATCTCCAGAGGCGAAGGGGTGTTACGGTAATACCTCACCCAACTCTACCTAAACTCTCAAATGCTTCTGTGCACACAATATTCCGTGATGTACTGAATACATCGACACACTTTCAGTATTCTCGTTTCTTTCATACATTCACCCAATAAGAAGAGCCATCAAGTTCTAACAAGCACGTGTCTTAGCTGCAATAAAATTCGTCCACTGTTGCGGTTAGCCAGACTGTACGCCCATTGGAGCATGATACCGATTGGCCTTGTCACTGGTTGAACCAATGAAGAGAAAGGAAACGATTGGTGTAATGGGTACATCGCATGTAGCGTTCGATCACTGGCTTCGACACTTTGTTTCCCCTTAGTTCCGACCCCAGCCGACACTGAGGTCTAATAGAGTCAATCGAGCAGCATGAAAAGTGTATCGTCACTGCGCTCGTTTTTCTTGTGGGTTCGCTCTCTCTCCAGTTAAACCAATCACGCACAAAATAAAGAGCATGATCGCGGCGTATTTTAACTCTATCGGATTGTAGAGTCAGCTGGGGTTGCACTAACAGTCAAACGGAGTACATGAGTGTGCGTTTTCGCGTAGGGCAATTTGTATCGAATAACAAGGCCGTTGCCCATGTTCTCTCAAAGTTTGACGTCCTGAGAAACGGCTCTGAACTCGATGCCTTCCCGTTTATTGAGCACCCTCGTCTGCTTCTTTTGTCTGCGGTAGACGAAGAAGGCCGCCAGGAGGCCTACTATTATGAGCACCAAGAGGACGACTAGTGTCGTGGTTCCCCAGGTGGCGTTCTTGAAGTGGGTCGCCTCCACGGCCCGGTGGTACGACGTCCAGCTGGTGCGGTTGAGCTCGACGTGCAGGTCTGGCACGAAGATGTTCCAGAAAGCCATCTCCTGCTGTCGGTACGGCACCGGGTCCAGAACGCCGGCCGGGCTGATCAGAGTCATGTTGACGTACTGAGGAGCGGCTGGATTGACGGCCGCGTAGAGAGTTCCACCTGGATTCCTGTTGATAACGGCCATTGTAGGTGACGGCAGCTGGTTAGGGATGGGCATTGTACGGAGTGGAAACTCTTGGAAGCCTCGGAGTTGAAGCTGATGTTTTGCTAAGAAACTTGGGCATTACGTATCACTCATAAAATATTTCTTATTGAAAACGTATTGTGAAAAGTGTCAAAAAGACGCCATGTTTTACGACTCATTGAAATACGTTTAGGTAGTTTTTTTTTTTCCGGATTACCCGTACTTTTGCCTTCCACAGTTTAGGATTTGTTTCGTGACTTTTATGTGACAATTTATGGGCTTCTCAGACCTCCTGAGTATTGCAAGTCTTATTAAGAGCCATATTCTCAGCTATATTTCCTCCAAGTTTCACGAAAATTTTAGCATTTGTTTTTTGGCCAGCAATATTAATTCTTCCAAAGTGTATTTAGCAGATAAATTTATAAATGGCACAATATATACCTTTAACGTAGGGACATAAGAACTATAAAAAAAACAAATATTAATAAATACTATTGTAGGGAGTTTGGCGGACTTAAAATGATCTCCACTGCGTATTCTCTCGCAATGCTGGTACAACAGCATAAACAAACGCACGATAAGCTCCTTTTGGTCAACAGTTTTATGGTTTAGATTACGCTTTTATTCTACTTAATTTTCTACGTTTATGGAGCCTCAATCACTTTAAAGACATTCAAGTCCCGTTGATACTCACAGCCCGTTGATGAATGTAGTGAAGAACGTATTCATAATCGCCACCACCGGTCGATCGAGCGCAGGATTCGTGACTTGTAAAATGCCTTCCGTGTTGACCGTGTACAACATATCATCCATATACGTGGCACCTGGGTTGATAGAAATGAAGATATTCATAGTCACCATACTAAAAAAAAAAACAAAAAAACAATAAAACAATGTTGAAGGGTATGCTGCAAGACGGGAAATATTCGTTTTTGTCAAGTGTTACGACGAGACAACCAGACATTATATGAATACAAATTGGAAAGTTTGGTAAACTAAGATCAGTTTCCCTTCGTTCTTGCATGTTTCCCATCGCGGCATGTTTAAGAAATAGATTGCCTTTACAAGAGGAACCCTGCCTCGCTTGGGATACGAATATAGCATTGAATATAAATAACTGACTTTGAGTAAAGTATGAACCGCGGCTTTCAAGCAGATGTCATTACTCAGCTGTTGTTGTATCAGAAAAAGTTTTAGGCCATTATCGACGAAGGTTCACATCGAATACCGCGTGTGCTTTGTGTACGTACATCATGGCCCGCCAAACTCAGGGGAAATATTTTCCGCTACGTTTAGTGGGGAATATCTTTGTCAAATTTATAAAAAATTGAAGTGTTACGTAGCGTCACATGGCGGCACTTGACGTCACTGTGTCAAGTGGTGTCTTAGCCTCACGTAACGCAAAATGTTATACGAGCACTGTCCGCTGTGTTTAATGAAACGAAAGTCCGCTATATTTAGCGGACTGACCCCCCGTGACGTCTTTTCTTCACGACAAAGAACAAGGATTTATTTGTTGCCGTTTAAATAGATAATAGCCAGGTTTAGAATTGGGTTTAGAAAAAAACAAAAAAAAACAACATTGCGTACGCATAGAAATGGCACCGCAAAAACTGCAGATGCGCCAAGTTCAACCCGAGTTTTGGATTGGCGCACGACGACGGACACTCTTTCTTCGCGCACGCAAAACTTTCACATACACTATTCAACAAAAACTCGCATTTAGAGAGTTTTAGTAAATCATTCCGACGACTCCGATAACGACACCCGATAGTTCGCCGACGTCTTTGCGTAATCGTGGTAGGGTTACCCGGTATCGTTATCGGAGCCATCGGAACTAGCGACTAAAACTCCCTCTAAAAATCGGGAGTAGCTCACCGTACTGTTCCCGCGGTGCCTTCTGCGGATCGGCGAAGGTCCTCGCGCCGTTCGGGATGCCGAAGATGTAGAAGTAGGCTTGGTTGGTGGTCAGGTAAGACGTACTTGCAGATGACAGGAGCCTCAGGTGTGCGGACAGGGCGGCTTCCACCGGCGCTCCCACCAAGAAATCGCTGAGCATCTGAAAGTCGGGGAATTCACGTCGCACTCAACCGAGATTACGATTTGCGCTACAGTGCGTGAAACGCGCATTCTCCGACTGATTTGTTTGAACCGCATCACTATTTTGACCTTTGAGTATCCGACTAAGCGGGGTATTTGGTTTTCAAGAGACCATAACTTAAAGATGGGAGCTTCTGTTAGGGTGTTTTTTTAGACCAGGGGGCTCCTTTGGACCTTTGGACCATGGGGGCTCATCGAAAAAGAGGTTAAATTACTTGATTATTGAGGTATTTAACTAAAAGGTTTGGACTATAGGGAGTTTCTCTTTTTGGGGTGAAATGTAGCGCGAGAATTGTCGCTCGACTTCCTTATAATCTAGCGTGACCTGACAGCGTGACAAAGATATTCCTAGCGGGTGCTGTAGGGAACGATAAATGTCATCCTTGTGCGCGACTTAGAAACCGAAACTAACCGGCGAAGCTCGCTCATGACGTCGATCCTTACGCTCTGCGCTCGCGTCGCGCTGCTGACGTCACCTGCGGCGAAGACACGTGGGTTGCGAGAAAGAGCCAACGTTATTAGATTAAGCCAGTTACGGAACTGCTCACAGACGCTGCTTGCACAAGTAGTACCCCCCTCATCACGACTCGCCTCCCGTCGCTCAGCGTGACGGACAGCTGCAATGGTAGCTGTATTCCATGAAATACGTACGTTAACGTTTCGAAGCACAGCGTCTATGCTCCGTTTTAGCTTACGTCCGAGCGCAGCGGATACTACGAGCCATCGGAGCAAATTCGAGGCCGTCTGAGTGTCACGTGACCTTGAAGAGGGTGCAGAGCGATGCGCGGAAAGCGGCTCCGTCCACAGAGTGGGATTGGCTATAGGATAGCTCGCAGCGTCCACTGCGTCCGGACGTCAGGTGAAACGGAGTATAGGTGGCGTTCAAGGTCTGCTCTATTGAACACGCAGTTAGGAAGCGAAAATCTAGATGGCGCTTCAAACGACGGGAGGCGGACTAAAATGAGCGTGTAATTACCTCAGTTGTGGAACACCCTTTTAGCGGGAGTTTCCCAGCTGAGGTAATCGAGTAACGTTGGCAGGACCAAGATGGAGGATGTGACGTCGCTGGGCGCGCTTCGCCGGTCAATTTCGGTTTTGCATCCGTGTACAAGGATGATATTTCTCGCCCCGTAGCACAATTGTTTTACTCAAGACTTTACGCCACGGCTATTCTAGAACGAGGCCGAGCTTCAATTTTCCCAGTGTGTTGTACCCAAAACGTCGAAGGAAAATAAATAAAATAATTGAAAATTTTAGAAGTGGCTCGCTAATTAGTAATTATTTATATCGCCACTTCTCTGGTGGTGGGAAAGGAAACCGCAGGGCGGTTTCCTTTCGTTATGTTTCGCTTCCGTTCTATAGTGCCGGAGTTGCCGTGGCGCCAGAAACGGCGGCGCTGCGATCGCATCTAGCTCGAAGCTGCGTCAAATTTTGCGTTCCCGCCGCCTTTGGTCACGATACTAAATAAAAGGGACGACATTTTTTTTTTTTATTTCCTGTTTTTTTTTTAGAAAAGAAAAGAAGAAAACACACCCTGTATAGTCCTTGCAAACTTAGGGTACTCAGGGTATGGTTTGTTCTGGGTATGCCACTTCCTGGGCGTCCTGGGTATATGCCGCGCAGGGTATGCCATAACACCGGTTTCTTAAGATCTTAGTAACTATAGGGATGTCGAAACATTGTAACACTGCGGTTTTCAGTCATCTTGTGGGTTGCCCCTATGGACTATCTGCCGGGTGCAAACTCTAGTACGAAATATACGGTATGTTTTTTTTTTTTCTTTTTTGAAATGTATATACGTGTTTTATGTTTACTGGATATAGTCATGACATTGGTTGAGTTGGACTATTGGCTTTCTCTAGGCTGGAATAACTACAAGCACCACACAAAGGTCGGAATGCGGCTCCTACCCTGATGGTGTTAATGGCGTTGCGGGTGGCATTGGCGGTGTTGGATCGTGGCCTGTAGTACTGGAACTTGACGGCGGCCGCGATGCCGACCCGGGAATCCTCGTCCGTGAAGTACTCGTTCAGGTAGGTTCGCACAATGTCGTCGATGCTCTTAGAATTCGGTATTTCCTGGGCTTTTTCTGGGACGGGAAAGAGAAAGAACGGTAGCTGACGCTTTGACTGACGGTTCTTTCGGAAAGAAAGCCTCGTTCAGCGAAGTGTTGTTTCAGAAACGCAAATATTGTTTCGTGTGTTTGTTTAGTATAAAAGTATAAAACAAACGTATACTACCGATAAATGTTAAAAAAATGACTGTCTTTTTTTTAGCCGCGGTGTTTGTTTGCTAGCTGCGCACCCTCTGACTGGCGCAACGATCGAGAGATGGCAGCAGCGTCCCCGGCGGCTTACGGCAGCCCAGCAGCCGCCCGGCCGCGCCAAAGGCAGGCGATTTGTCGCCGAAAATTTTCCACGAATCACCGGTTGTATTTGTTCAGTGTTCATTTATATTGTTTTATTGGGAAAGAGGAAGAAATCATACACTGTGCATTATAGCTGATTATGGCACCGAAATAGCGCGCGCCGTTTATGCTTCGAAAATATCGTCTGCTTTTAGAGCGACCGGGCGGCTGCTCAGCTGCCTGCCGTCAGCCGCAGGGGCTGCTGCTGCCATCTGTCGGTCGTTGCGGCAGTCAGATGGTGAGCGGTTAGTAGACGAATGCCGCAGATAGGGAAAGCCAATGATCGTTTTGTATCTCTTAATTTTTACTCGGGTTATTTCGCTCTTTGAAATCGTGATGCGATGCTTCCATCACCTCTGTGTACCCCTGTTGTAATGCTTAGCGCTATAAAATTACAGAGAAGATTTATGCGGTCACTTTAAAAGTTTCACCCGGCTTCAAGACGTAGATGAGAAAATGAACCAGTGCAGTATCACTACTGTAGTCACTGAGGGTTTAAGGACCATGGGGCGTGGCATATTCTCTCTGCGGATCTTGTATCTTGAATCGTTCTTGGGATTCCTTTTCTGCTGATGGCGCAATTTCATTGGCCAAAAAGCGAAAAAAAAAACCGATTCTCGGAGTTCGCCATGGTCTGTACTCCTTAAGCTATCCGTGACTGAAGCCCAGGGTCATTGATGTGTACCACGCAGCAGTGACACACGGTTGTTGAGTGATCTTAGAATGATCCGGGCGGTTACATTGAGGTTTACAATGAAAAAAAAAAAAAATAGAGGACGCTTAAGCTTCGCCTTTAAGGGTGGAACGCGATAGCGAAACATATAAATCCCCGCTCGTTGTCGAGCCGCGTAAGCGCGTCTGCGCGGCCTAGTCGGTAGCGTGTCTGGCACGGAACCGAATGGTCGTTAGTAAAAATCCCGCGTCTGCCTAAATTGTTTTACATTTTCGTTTAAGGAAAATGAACTACGTTATAAAGCAAAATCATAGTTGACGTGCGGCCACATTTAGTTCGCATTACATGTCATATTTTAATCACTTTTGTTTCACGCGTGACGTCGTCACGCATGGAATGAACGCTCAAGTTCCACGAGAGTGTTATGGGTCTTTGAAATTTCAGCGCGAGGGAATGTGGTGGTGACGTCATGACCCTATCGACCAATCAGAATTTTTCGTCCCACGCCACCGACGCCGGATTTCTTTTTTTTTTTGCGACGCGAGCTCCTTAAAGCTATCGGTCTAAAAGGCGGAACGCGGTGGTTAAAAGTTAACTTCGTGGTCTCATTTCACGTTCCTTGTTTCTGCCTTTTTATCTAGTGGTCGAGGCTTAATAGTAGCAGAAGTGTAATTTCTTCGTACCAAAGTAACGCAGGGATCCTGCATGCTTCGTGTAGCCGTATATTGTAGGTTTCGGAGTAAAGCGGTTCCCAGCGTATAATAGTCTCGGGTGGTCCCGCAGAAATGCGTTCTGCGTCACGTTCACGTCCACGATGGGGGCGAATTTAAGCTGCAACAGAGAAAGAACATGTCATCATTATTCTCAAGTTGTCTTTTCTTACTAAATATACCATCTATCGATCAGCTTTTATTTCAGCCTGAAACACAAACTGAGGTTGGCGAGAAAAAAGCAGTGTCGTCCACTGCTTGACTGGCCTCGCCACCCTTACAAGTCAGCAGTGCAATACGCATACGTAATATATATGTAGAATTAATGGTATCGATAAGCTCTTACACGAGGCATTTGGAAAACGGCAAAGTTCGTAACATTTGGGTATTTCTTGTTGGCTAACAAGGTGTCCTCCAAAAAGAATTGCGGTGTTTTAATTCTTATTGCATAGATAAACTATAGGTGGTTTATGCAATAAAACTACAAATAAACTATAATAAAACGTTATCGTCTCGAACCAGATGCCAAGATGTCATGACTAACCGATATCAAAGTCGGTGCGATAATGACGTGAATTTTTAGTTCGATATTGTGCGTTTTATTCAATATTAAGTTGAATTTCGGCGCTTATCCCATCTACACCTCCCTCGTGTTTACTGTTTGTGCGCTGTTTCCGGTTGGATCATGAACAAACTCGTCCGCATCGCCTCGTTGACTATAATAATCGTCGCATCTGACATATTTATGTGCCTTAACTCACCCATTGAGCGATTGCCTTAAGATGTTACATGATGAAAACATGACGTGCACTAGAAGCACTATTTCAGTCAAAGCATAACTTAAAATACAGTTGCGATAATTGTAAAAAAAAAGTGCTTGAGGTCGAAAATAATCCCTGGAGAAGGAGAACAAGAGGGACAAAGGAAAAACACAAATCTCCAAACACAGCTATAGGGGACTGGTGCGCGACCGAAAGGAGAGGTCCCGGGTTCGATACCCGGACCAGGCGGATTCTTTCGGTCGCGCACCAGTCACCTAGCTGTGTTTGGAGATTCGTGATTGTCCTTTGTCCCTCTTGTTCCCCTTCTCCAGGGATTATTTTCGTCATTCTTGTCCAGCTCGCTTGCACCTTTGCATTTAATTGCATTATAATCGTGCTTCAGGAGTCTTTATATAAATCCTAAATCAACGTTAAGTCAGCGCATATAGGAAGGGCGCTTATAGTTTCTAAGTGACAAAGAAACCTGGAACCGAGCATTTTGATTTCAGTCCGGGGTCCCAACCCGCGCTAAAATAATCATGGGAACGGTGTTCCTTCTGCTCCTTAGTGATCGGCAATTTTAACCCTATTTTTGGTTACCCAGCTTTTGAGCGTAATTTGAAGTCACCCTGAACAAGCGCGTGATATACCCCAATATCCCTTTTAAATTTTCTTGTCAATGTTAGCATTTTTGATACTGTGCATGCTGTCCACCTTTCAACCTGGATGGGCATGTGCTGCAAACATCTCTTACATTATTATCATTCTCGTACAGTTTCAAAGACGCTGATATTAATTTAGAAACGCTAAAAATGCTATAAACAGCCCCGCCGACTCCGAGTTAAATCCTGGTTTTTGTTGTTGCGAATTCTCGGCTTTTTAAGCAATTCCTGCTAAAACAACAATCACGAGAATGACAATATTGTAAGAGATTTCTGCAGCCCACCCAGGTTAAAAAGTGAATCGCATGCAGAGTATCAAAAATGCTGACATTGGCAAGAAATTTCAAAAGCGATATGACAGGTCCTTGCGGTATATCAGGCGCTTGTTCAGGGTGACTCCGATTTACGCTCAAAAACTGCGTAACCATAGAATAGGTCGAAATTAGCCATCACTAAGGAGCTGAAGGAACACCGTTCCCATGATTCCTCGAGTTCGGGACTGGGCGCTTGGGAATATTGCGAATGGTCTATTCAGTGTCAGCCAAAAGTAACACCAAAGGACGAGTCAAGGAGAAAAAGACATGATCTTAATTAATTCCGCCCTGCTTTTCGTAAGCTATGAATTACTATGCGTGCGTTGCCAGGAATGCGTGTGAACAAATGGACGTCACGAAAGCCCGAGTGTTCTGCTGTCGGATGTCGGGATCCAGGCGGTTGGTCGCAGAAATGCTGGCGAAAAGCACGAGCGAACGCGAGTGTCGCTGTCGTCGCGGCGTCCAAACTCCTGGCCGCTGACGCTTCCGTGGACTGCCCCACTGGAGAGCGACCCGCAGCAGGACAGGCGTCTGCCACAGGCACCAGCGCTGCCGGGACGCCGACAGGATCGCGACCGGCAACAACGTGACAGTTTTTTAACTTCACCAGGCGGAAATCGAATTACCACTTTTTTGGGACGCGGTAAACGCACCATTCGAAGACGCGTGCTAGGCACCGTAAGTATGCGGAGCGCAAGGTCGTCTGCTCCTTGCGCAGGGCTCGCAGTGACGAACTCTGGTTGGCTCCCATCGGAATGATAGTGGGCAGGGCTCAATGCCAGCTTCCTTCGGGTCTACCGACTATCCTTCCGATCGGAGACAATCGGAGCTCGGCGTTCTGACGTCACCGCAACCCCTGCGCAAGTAACTGACGGACTTGCGTTCCGCATAGCATGCTAGGAAATTGCCATATGGTGTTACAAAATAAAAAAACACTATTTAAAAATACATCAGTGAGGCACCCCTTTACGAGAATTAAATAACTCTGTTCCCAGTTGAGTATTTTGAGTTGCCTCACCTTGCTGTAGTGAGCTTTCTCGACTAGCTTGCCCGCCTCGATGCCTCGAAGGCAGTCGACCAGCTTGTAGCTGTCGTAATAGCTGCAACCCACCGCCTGTCCGAGTTCCCGCGACTGCCTCCAGGCGTCTTCGACTGTGGCGTCAGGACTTGTCGCTGATCCGCCTGACATGATGGCTCTTGTAAAGAGGCCTGCGAAAATAGTTCAGAAACATTTTTGAACAAGATATTAACATTTCACTAAACTCCTTCTGCAATACCCTTTGTTGCTCCCACAATTGAGCGTAAGACTAATGAATAAAAACGCCGAGTAGCTAGCGGTTTCCTTGAACAGCGGTTCTCAAATGGGGGTCCGCGAGGGCATTCTTGGGGTCCGCCAAGCCCTGCCTCATCAGTCGAGGCCGACAATAAAAGTTGTCTTTTTCCAGGTCGAGAAGAAATGTTTCAGTTCTCGGGCGAGTTTTTACGTGTGTATATCAATCAATAAGAAAGGTCTACTTCACACTAGCCCTTAGTTATATTAATTTATTAAATCACTATCGTATTTAACCTATACATTTCCCTTTCCCTCACCACGAACGGGGTCTTTCATCATCTCCGCTGATCCACAAGGGGTTCGCGAAACATCGATGGTTGAGAACCACTGTTCTAGAGTAAATGTATTACTGGTAATGCTTGAATTTGAAGAGAAAAAAAAATAATTGTATATATTTCCAAAAGGAAATAAATTTATCCTTATGCTGTACAGATTTCTGTTTTGTGTAGAAAATTTTCGAATCTTGATTTCATGGTCATTGTATCCGAGTTTTTTCTGTGTAATGTGTTGTTCTAATAAACATGCTGAGAAATGGGAAGTTATGAAATCCGCCGAGTTTTCCTTGAAAGGCTATACTTAGCACAATTCAAATAGAAAAAAAAATACATGGGCTGTGCTAAATGTTGTACTCGAAAATAAGGTGATCTTCACATAATTAAAGAAGTTAATAAATTAGGCTCCCCACAAAGTATATAATTGTAAAATATAATAGAAAAACAACAAAGCAAATAGAAACAAAACAAGCAGAAAAAAACAACTCTTCAGTCAAAAGCACTTGAATGTTGTTATGTGTATAGAAAAAATAAATGCACTTTACTCCAAGCCTGAAAAAAATATTTTCCTAGATATGTAAAGCTGGAATTAAAACAACTGAAAGTTTCTTACCTAGGTGTTATAATGTTTTCAGTAACCCCTCAGCTAGCTATTTGTAGGGAGAGTAAATTTCATAGTGCAGCAGTCAACATTACATTAAGGAGCTTGGTTTGCTCTTTTTGGAAGAAATCAACTTTGTGACAATTCTTCCAGGCCCAATATTTTTGTGAATCGTTCCAAATTGAAATAAGCACATTTCATTGAGGATTATCATAAGAGAAAGAATAACTCTGTTCATTCAAGCTATATAATTATTTCTTTAATTTGTACCAATAAGTATTAGTTAAACTTTCAAAAACATACACTGATAATGTGACCTGCGTAAATGTTACATAAGAAAAGACTTAGAAAGCTGTATACTAGCAACACATATTTGTTGCGGGTGAAATAGACACAATGAATCGTTTCCCTTCTCAAGAATAAAACGTTTGAAACGCTAGACGATTTAGAAGAGACCTACCCGATGAAACTGGGTTGAGCATGTGGAACGAGACGGACATGGCTCCAGCCCCGAATCCCATCAAGGTAATTCTGCTCGCGTCGCCCTGAAACCGCTCGATGTTTTCCTTGACAAACTTGAGGGCCATTTGTTGGTCCCAAAGACCCAGGTTTCCTTTCGCACGCTCGTCCTCGGTGCTTAAGAAGCCTGAATTCGCAAGGAAAAGAAAGAATCACCCTGAGAATCAGCCATAACATTCTTTCACAAATGTTTAACGATGGTTGACTAGGGGTAACAAATATCGTTTACGAAATCTAGAGGAAAAAAGAAATCTTGTATACGATTTAGTTAACGAAAACTTGTACGATTTCAAGTTACTAAAAGGTTAAGGATTGTAGGACGTGGATCATTGTGTTGAGGCTTCTTGCTCCGGGACTCATTTTTTTATGTTCTTATTGCACAAAACCAGAATTAATTGACTGTACATAAAAATAAGATGCTCGGACAGTTCCACACCCAGCACATATTAAAGTTCCAGTGACTATAGTTGAAAAACAATATTACGAAATTATATAAAAGCGTTTAAAATTAGTGACGGCACTGAAGGATTTTTTAAAGAATATTATACTGGTGCTTCACTTTTTTCAATTATAAGTCACAGGACTAGGTGGTTCTGAACGGTATCCCCACCTTGAATTTTATTCCTCAAAAGTTGACTACCTTGACACTTCTCGAATTTGCGCACTAAAGCACGTCCTAATTAAGATGGTCTAACTATTATCCTGCCCAGTACTTGAGAAAGCAAACTGCTGCAATCTCGGCGAATGGCGAGGTTCAAGGTAGGTTTAAAACCAGAAAATCAGCCTGCGATGGGACACTGAGCTTAATGTAGGCAGGTGAAACACCATGCTTATTATAACATCGCAGGCTGTATATCTCTAGGTTAATGTTGACATATTTTAGCCTTGCCATTCACCGAGCCCCATTCGTATAATGCAGCTATTGGATCTCCGAAACGCCCTGCGGAAAAGTGAACGCACTCAATTTTCAGAGCGTAGGTCCGCATCCTCGGCCAAGAGTGTTTAATTTATACGACACGTAGTAGACGCAGGCCATTACAGTTTTAGCATGGGGTCAGAAGCGAAAGAGGAAAACCAAAGGCTTTCCAGGCATTCTTATCAGAAGGGTCGGCACTCAGCCTAGAGACGGACTCTGAGCTTCAGCTGGCCGATAAGACCTTCGGTGGTCCACGCACTCCTGCACTTTATTGTCGCCTACAACTCTTTGTTATGCAAAACACTGAGTTCGCTGTTTACGCTAATAGAGACCGGGCTTTTGCTGGCTTGGGTTCCTGGAAAGATTTCGGTTCACTAAATCATTGGCATGCTAGCTTAATTGTAGTTTTTGCGCAGAGCTTGTAATGTGTACATTCGCACTTTTTTTTGTGGAAACCAGGTACAATTCACAGTACAATGCACTCTACAAAGCCGCGGTTCGACATTGAGAATATCTCCACTCCGTGACAGTTTAAGATGCAGTTTGGTTTGCGAATTACGAGGTTCCAAATTTGAGGTTCTTCCTGTGGCACTCTGTTTACGAAAACTTCCAGAAAGTTCATGTTTGCATTATATTTTTCGGGAAATTTTATTCTTTTGACATTAGAATATTGCACCTAACTTGTGTTAGTGCAAAATGAACTGCAATTTTTATTACACAGTTTGACTTTATTAGAGGGTTTGGTTTCATTTGTTTGACGGCGGCTATGGTTTGGGAAGAGGTGTCCTGCCTCGATCCTTGCAGTGGGTTTCTTATATTTCCATGTGTATAGAAGTAAAATCCGACCCAAGGGCCTGGTGTATGTACTAAACTTCTTTTTGTCTTTTTTTATGTTTAATACGTGTGTTATGTGCCTACTCGCATCCCTACAAACATCGTTTTAAATAGTGTGTTTGTTTTCATCTAAAGAAACAAAGAGAGTTTATGATGAGCATGTTCTAGTCCGCGTTAAGAAAACGAATATACAAGTTTCAGACATAAGAACTTCAGAACGAACCTAGAACGCCAAGTCTGTAGTTTAGTACCACAAATATATTGGTGTTGCCGTAGCCAAGTCCCGGAGCAATGAAGTCCTTGCCGCCACTCTTGAAGTCCGGTCCTGGGATGAACACCACCACGGGCAGTTTGGTCGTGGAAGTCTGCAGTCATCATTGGGCACATGCATAAACGTAGAAAAATGTTTTTAGCAACCATGACTGAGGCTATGGTTAACCATGAATAACCATGACCGAAACGGATGTAACCATGAAAGGAAATCTTAAGTCTAACGTTAATTGACGCCCTATAGTGAATTGTCAAGGGCGCAGAAGCCAGCTATATTATCATGAGAGTCAATAAGTTTTTAATGTTTTAGTATGTGGAGAAACGCATGTAAGTGAAATAAATCGTTATAAAAGTAAAAAGAACCAGACCAGCAGCTATGGTGCACCAGCTAAAGATATATATCTTCGTACGAAATTTATCTTTAGTCTCGTTATATTTTTGTTAATTTTTTACTATACGTTATTAGCCTTTTTCTGCTGTATGACCAAGTCGCACGCCCATTTATCTTTACATTTTTGTATATAAGACCTCACATCCACCTTTTGTGGTTATCATTGATAATCCGTGTCTCGAGCTTGCTGCTTTCCAACAGATTGTCTTTGTTATAAAAGTAGATAATGCCAAACGAAGCACGCACTTCGTTTGGTGCGAAAACAAAAATTGCGTCTCCACTATTTTTAGTTAAAATAAATGTAGACATGTTCAGAAATTCACGACATACGCTTGACGTTCCCGTATCTGTCCCACTGTGGCGTAATCACTTTAACTTTACGCCGTGCGAAAATTACCGCCATAAGTAGCTAATGTGTGCGAGTGAAAAAAAACAAAAATAACTAACTTTAAAGATAAAAAAGGACGAGATAACGAGCGTCTGGAGATGATAACATACTGATAACTTTATCACTTTTCATTACCATTTCACGACTATACTGCGATCAAAGAGAGAACATCGGAACTTCAAAACAATTTTGCAGAAGTCATTTCACGCGTTAGCATTGTTCTTACAATTGACTTAAAGTTTGATATAGTTAGGTATCTTCAGATATAACTGTGTTGTGAGTGAGTATAGAAAGTAACACCTATGCCAATATTAGTGGTTGATTTTGTTCAAGATGTTTCTTAGAATGGTTTATCAGCTTATGCAATTCGGCACATTTTCTGCGTGTTGAAAGTGGAATATCCGCATTCCGCCAAAAGGTAAATTTATAACGGATATAATAAACGTATATTAAGGCATGCATGCGCTTACAAACTTACGACAAAGGTGCCACGCATCTTGCGTCGGCGACTGAAAAGTTTCTGACACGAGGCGGCTCGTTATCGTCACTTTCATGCAAACTTCACGTTGAGGAATGTTTTCAACAGTGACACTCGATAATAGCCGAGAGTTGGCTGGGATTTCGTAGAAGATTGCTGAATTGATATTATTAGGATCCGGTCCGAGTGGGATTCGAACCCCTAACCTCTGCGGGAATGAACCACCTTTAAGTCCTGGCGCAGCCAACGCTACGAGCTGATGGGACCAATCATGATACTATGTCAAGAGGACACCGTTACGACGCTCTTCGTGTTTCTATACTTGTTCTGTCATCACTGAACCAATCATAAATAAGATGAGGCCCAGTGACTTGCGCTTATGACGCTGCCTGATTGGTCCGATTAGCTCATGGCGTCGGCGGCGTTTGGACTTTAGCTGAAACGTAGTATCGAAACTATCGGTTATGCGACACTTACGCCACGTCCTCATATACGACAATATTCAATTCATTGCGTTTAAATCACAAATACTGCGTGTTTAGATTTTTAACGTCGTTTCCAAAAATCTGTTAAATCTAGACCAGTGCAGTATAATCGCGTAGGTTATACGGCCAGGGACATTATAGAGGGGGCTAATGGTCATGATAAGTAGAATTATGAAATGAAATTTGTCAAATACATTTAATCAGTAAAAATAAATATATTTTCCAAATTCTGAGCATAATCTAAATCCACTAGGTTAGTAAATATTAGGAAGAATCGTAGCACATGGGGTACGCGTTAATGCGCTAAAGTTGCCTCTCGCAAAACAGGCGCAAGGCTGGTAGTGCGAAAACGTGGATGATCATTTTATCATCCGTGTCCATCGTGCCAAATTGCAAAAAATCAACGCATACCGAGAAGTATCGTTCCAATGTGGGGATGGTTCAGCCATTTGTTTGCATTCGTCAATCGTTCAAAATGTGGGCACCCGCGCCTCGCTAGGGAACTTTATGCGGAGAATCCAGTTCCCAGCTAAAGGCGGAAGAAAAAAATCGAGTTTATCCTAGTACTATGTCGAATACTTCAAATGAGTCCTGTTTTTAGACAACTAATCTCAAAATGGAGATGGTTATGGCGTTTTTACGCATTCGGTCATCTTTTGAAACTTGGGTGCCCGCGCCTCGCCAGGGGACTTTTTGAGGAGAACCCAGTTCCCAAACTGAAGGGTAAATATAAAATGGAGAGTGCTCGAGTTCATCCTGGTACTATGGAGAATACTTCAAAATTTATTTCTTTTGGAGAAAACCGGTCTTGAAATGGGGATAATTTGGCCGTTTCGACGTATTTGTTAGTCTTTTGAAATTTCGGCACCCGCGCCTTACCAAGGAATTTTTTTATGACAACCCAGTCCCCAAACAAAGACGGAAAATGAAATGTGGAGTCCTCAAGTTCATCCTGTTACAACAGAGAATACTTCAAATTGAGTCCTTTTTTAGAAAACTAATCTCAATATGGAAATGGTTATGGCATTTTTACGCATTTGTTTATCTTTCAAAATTTGGGCACCCAGACTTCATCTAGGAAGTTTCTGGCGTCGGCCAACAACTTAACTGCTGACAAAATACACATATGTTGCCCGTGACTACAAGCTGCGGTTACGGCAAATGCTCTAATATGAGCCATCTTTGTGTAAACTTGTTTCGAAGTGGACATGGTTCGACCATTTACAGGCATTCATTCATCATTTCGAACTCAGGCACCGCGCCTCATCCAGAAAGTTTTTGTGATTGCCGAATTCTTAGCTTTGACGGAATGCCCAATTTGAGGCTTTTCACTACAAGCTGCTGCTACGGCGAATCCTCCAAAATGAGCCATCTTTGAGACAATTTGTCTCGAAGGGGACATGGTTCTACTGTTTTCAGGCATACGCTAATTTTTTTAAATTTGGGCTCCCGCGCCTTGTCGGGTTTGTTTTGGGTTCGACTGAGTTCTCAACTGGTGAAGAAATATAAAATTTAAGGCCGCCGACGATAACACGGTGCAATCGCAAAAGCTTGGGCTTCAGCCCTCTTCGAGGAATCTTATATCAAGTCGGATATTTCAATACGGTCTTCTCTCGATTTTGTTTTGCTGTTTATGTGCAGGGCGTAATGTAAACTTTTGTTACTTGTCTGAATACTACTTTCGATATGCGAATGCTTAGTTCACAAAAAACAGTCAACCTCTCATAAATCGTTTATTCCCTCCCATTGCTTACAATAAAGATCACGTTGTTACGATGACATAAAATTAATAACTAGTGACAATGTTTTAAATTATTTTTATATAATTTTAGATTATCGCAATACTTGCAAGTTTATTGAGGCCAGTAGCAGAATACTGGAAATGGTATTAAACGGCTATACGAAAATAAATCGACCCCGGGTCAAATTGGTCTCAGAAACTTCCAAAAATAATATTGAGAAAAAAAACGTACCCAGCACATTATCTATTCTTTTGGTTTACTGCAGTCAAATGGAAAACCTTATAATCTGCTGTGTTCTTAAATGGTCCTCTTTTGAACTTTGACATTTCTCAAAAGTTTGCGTGAGGTGCCTCCAGAATACATTTTTCTTTAGTTGTAATACACATCTTAAACACTGCAGAATTCGGCATAATATCGGAGAGTGGTTCTATCTTCATTATCACACGCTTCGACGACGTTCATTATCAAAACGCATATCGAGATGACGGGGAGTATATGCATTTCCATACAATCAAGCACTATTTTATGCAATTTCTTACTTGTTTTTGCACATGGATACCAAAAATGCATGGAACCTTACAGCTTCGCTGTAACAATATATAAATATTGAATTACCAGCTACATTAATCAGGCACTTAAAAAGGTGAACAAAACGGACGCATGCTCTCTACGTCATTGGATTTATCCATTGATAGGAAGCGGGCAAAGTTGACGAGCGTCAACCCGAAGCCCTTTTGGCGCTACACGAAAGTCTTTATTCAAACCTCGAAACGCCTTCTCGCGACGGAGGTGTCACGTCATGCACTCTGGGAATAAATGGGAAGCAAAAAACCATACGCGGTTCGCTCCTGGCCCACAGGTTCCCAGAATGCAACGCGCGCGGTGACGCATTTATGGAAGTACTCTATGCGGAGCGCGAGTTGGTTTGCTTCTTTTTGCGGGGGTTGTGGCGACGTCAGGGCGCCGAGATCTCATTGGCTCCGATTCGAGGGATACTGGGTAGGCCTCGAGTCAGCTTGCTTCGAAGTCTGCCCACTTTACTTCTATGAGAGCCAATCAGAGCTCGGCTCCGTTCTGACGTCACCGAAATTCCCCCGCAAAAAGAAGCAAACGAACTTGCCTCCGTATTAGCTCAATCGAACCGTTCGCTGCGGTGGGACTTTCCATGAAACGGAGTCCGTCAAATATTACCCTTCGAGGTAAAGGTTTATCCTATCACATATGGTATCTGGTAATACCCCGCATGCTAGCAGAATGCGGAATAAAAGGGAAATATGTTCATTTTAAGACACCGTGTATTTTATGAAAAAATGTGGTATACGGGAAATTTGGTGTTGAAGAAAAGATACGACAAGCTTTCTGGCCCCTTTTCTTGAATAGCTGGCTCACTAGTTGGTGCCAAGCTCTTCTCTTTATTTTTTTTTTTGCAGCTTCCCAGGTAGTGCGTCAAAAAAACGCCCAAATTTGGCATAATCTAGGCAATCCTAATGCGGTTATGGTGTGTTTGTGTTTATACACTCCGAGCTTAGTCTGCTTCACCTGACGACTTGCCTGTCAGCTGTAGAGGAGAAATTTAGCCAGCGCGGTACGACCGCCGGCCTGGGGTCCTTAACGTGCATCATGCAGTAGTGATACACGACGGCACGCTGGTACGATGCTCACTCAGATCGAAACGGGCAGGGGTGGGGATTGAACCCAGGATCCCTGGGCTCTGCAGCGCGAGCTTTCGCTCCACGTGCCCCGAGCTGGTGAGCGTTAGCCCACTCGGCCACCGATTCCCCTTAATACGGTTTCGCAACTTAGTGCAAGAATACTTTTCTTAGGCGTTTTTATGTATTTCTTTGCCACATTAGTTTTTAAGTGCCCGACGCGAGGCAGACTTGACGCAAAGATGCCAAGCATGAGCCGAAAAACTGCCAGTAAAACCTAAATGAGGCTGTTCTTTTGAAGTTGAGGCCCAAAGGTGTCACATGAAAACCGAAAAGTCATAAGCGATGCCTAACTTTGGCAGTTGGTTGGAAAATTTGGCCCGAAGATGCCTGATAACATTCAAGCTACTAAAAATGAAGCCTAAATTTGACGCTTGTTTTACAATGCAGGGCCAAGATACACTGACTCTGGCCGAAAAGGATAAATATTTGCTTTATCTTCGCTCTTCTGGGCTTTGTAAGGCCCTATATTCCAGCACAAAACCCAAAATTTGTCCCAAAGAACCGTGCCACATCTTTAGAGCATTTAAATCCACGACTTAAAAACTTTATCTTTGCCCTATATGTTGTAAAGCGATACCATTAGAACGCTAAGCTCTGGGGAGATTGCCCACGTTATCGAGGGTTATACTCGAAAGAGGCGAAAGCTATCGGTCATTGCGTGTCGTTGCCATTTGCAGCGGCGGTGTGTGCAGTCCTTATTTGCACACGCTGAGATCCAAACAAACAATTGCGATACGTCGTATCCCACTGCGCGCATCTATCTCCATAGCTACCACTTCTGGGAACGCCGAATCCTCTCAGGTTCGAATTAAGCTGGCATTGAGACAACTCCATCCAGTTTTGTTAAACTAAAAACTCGCGGTGACATAAAAAAAATTATCTGCCTTCATTTTGAAGCTTACTTAAAACGCCTAGTGCTTTCAGTGTTTAGAAAACCGTTATTGCAATCCTGGTGCATTACACGGTACAGGGTCATTGCTACTTCATAAACGAAAAGCGATACACATTTCGTCGAATGAGAAGTGCCGGGTCGAGATCGCGATAATATTCGCAGCTTGCTCGAAGATCATTTAGTTAAAAGCCACTTACGTTTCGTTTATACGAATTGCATTCGTGCAAAGCAAGTTAAGCAAGAGATACCCTAAACGATGGCTTCTTGAGTCTTCATCAACATAAAATACGCAAAAGACGACGGGCAAACATAGCGGACACGACCTTACTTTATTAGAAAGTTACCTTTTGAAGCCTAGTAATTGATAAGTTGAAATTTTACCGTTTCGTTTCTATTTTTATGGAGGGGACACTGACAGGAAATTCGAGTTTGTAGTTGACGAATATTTTACGCTGTTATCCTTCCAAAGCTGTTCACATTTAAACGTTTCGGCCGCTTTTTGGGACATTATCGATGACGTGATCTTCTTCATCCCTCTGTTGTTCCAAGCAATTCATTTCACACCATCAAATTAGTAGTACTCAAATGTTCTATATTTCAGCGCACTAACATTTAAGAACACAATGTCTAATTGAATTCACGTGAAAACGCCCGAGACGGATCAGTCAAGTCCAATAAGCAAAGCACAGGTGGCCCCACCTTCTCTTGGCCTAAAGTGGAGGACAACTGCCGGGATGACACAGTTGAAATATAAAGTAAAAGGAAACATCCTATCTTGACTGCGTCATTGCCGAATAACTACGCACAAACTTGTGGCTTATCCGCATTCATACCCATGACCTACTTTACCACAGAGTTACAGCGAACAAGCCATAGCCGCGCGTGTTTCTCTACTTTTATTTTAGTATTAAACAAATGTAAATAAGAGTATTGCGGTGTTGGGAAGTGCTCAATAGTGGTACTAACATAAGAAATAAAGTTTAACGCCAAAGTTTGTTTTTGTTAGGTTTTTGTTTTTAGAGTTTTTTTTTAACAACCTCAGTTACCTAAACATTTATTAGAACACCTTATCCTCAGTTTTCTCTTTAAATTATAGAGCTTGGGGATTATCAAGGGTATGAGGCTGTTTTAGGTGTCGTGTTAAGGAACCCACTCGCATATATTGCCACAGCGACGTGGATCACTCAAGGCGAAATAATTGGGCACTTACCGCGAAGGCGGTCTGAGGCACGTAGATGTCCAGATAGAGGCAGTCCTCCTCCCCGATGACCCTGTTTTCGGGATATGAGCTCCACTGGAGACAGTGCCTTCTCGTGCTTTGGAAATAGGATGAATCCGACCATGGCTCTGGTCTCTCTGGAAGCTTTAAAAATAGCACACGTTAAGCATGTCTTATACGCACACATCGGCGTGGTTTCACAGGTTGTTCAAGGAGACGTGAAGTCAAAACAAAGAGCACGGTCGGTATGCTCTTTGTATGCGGCAACAATGAGGATCGATTGCACAGCACTCAGCATTCTCACTAAAATGAAAACGCGATGAAGATAAATTACAATATGTACAAACAGGTCACACTCTGAGGCATCACTAATAATAATGACGCGCATCGCTGGTACCACAAAGGGTGCATCAGGGTTTTGATTAAATAATGTACCCAAGGATTTAGCCAGCTTGCTGTGTACAACACCAATGAATATCGAGTTCCTCGTAGTATTTAAAGAACTGTTGGTTCTCCTCTTATACCTAAGCAAAAAACGAAGAAAGGTAGAAGAGGACAGCAGCACACGGTACCTGTGTTTGGGGGCGTAATAGTAAAATATGAGTTACACCCAATTAGCTGAACTAGCCATTTTGATTGAATTTTGGTAAAAAATAGTGATATCCCTAAACTAGATTGCGAGTCATAGTTTTGCGCTAACGCTTTCGAGAATTAACTGAACCACGAGAGTCACAAATAGCGGACGCACTTGCAATCCGTATTGGTGGTAGTGTATAACTGGCCATCTGAGAGCGAACTGCAGCTCTGCTCGTAGTTTGGAATAGTTTTTGACGACTTCCTCTCAGACCTGCTGACAGTAGTCTGTCCAATACAGGCATTACAGCACCCAAACACTCACTTAAAAAAAGAACGGAATTTTTAGTTATACGACTGAAACATATGCCATATTACCCGTCTCATTTGAAATCTGAAAGTCTTAAAATTACAGTTTTATGAGTCGACTTCAAAACTTTGAGAGCTTCAATACAATTTCCCAAATGTTAGGCACCTGTTTACACAAAAAGCAGACACCATATTGCCGGCTTTTGTGTGAGACATTCATTTAAATGAGATCATGTTGATTACAAAAATATTAGACAATGAATGAATGGTAGACAGTCATGACAAAGCATAAAACTGATTTGTGTGTTCTTCAAGGTGAATAATATACAATATATCATATAGTTATTTCATATAATATTATGCAATATGAGTGATACGGTGTTTTTTTTTTTCATATGGGTAGGCTCGAAAGGATATGTCATAATTGTGGCCCTAAAATTTTGAAGTGACTGAAAGGAGCCGTTGCGGAGCAATTGATATGTGAAGAGAGAAGAACGATAGCCTGGGACACATTTATTTTACTGCAGATGCCGATGACTTTAGCTTTTATAAATTATTTGGCTAAAGCTCTCATCTGCCACGAGAGTGTTCCGCAACTGTTCCTTGAGCCGTTACAGTGACGTGGTTGTTTCAGATCACTCGACGATACACCAAGAAGCGAACTGCGTGGACGTGTCTTCGGTCTTAATGCGAAAGCATTAACTGTCCCATGGAGCGAACCGGCGTTCACAGATCTTGAAGCCGAACGGCACATAAACTATCCAGTCCCCCGTCCCAATGGAGCCAAGCCTGTCGTCCGTAGCAGCGCTCTGATGGATAAGCTCCCATTGGCTGGCGCGCGCGTCATAGTTTCAAGGAACAAGGCTCCGCGCGGCGAAGTTCCCAATACAGCAACAAGAGAAGCCGGCACCAAAGCGGCGCGGCGGCAAGGCCGCCGGAAGAGGAAGCCGCTGGCCGCAGAGCCCGCACGGGCAAACTCCGGAAAGGCTCGACGGCCGAGCTCAGCGCGGCGCGGCCACTTGACGAGTGCTGGCGCTCGGCCGTCGACCGCAATCGCCGCTACAGCCAAACTTGGCGGTCCACGCAAGTACGGCGGAGTTGAAATAAGGGAAGAACGACATTCATGCTTCCGTATTCAAAACTCATAAAAAGTGCGCAGGTGTCTTTTTAGTTTTGTGTTTTAAGTCATCCACCAGCAGAATTTGGGCTGTGTTATGTTTATTGTCGATTTTTGTTTCTATTAAAACACGTCTGCCACAAACCGCACTGGAAAAAAAAAGATGTACGTTTCTAGTAGTTGTTATTGTCGTCGCTATCATAAAACAGCGATAACAAAACAATATCTGTGCATTGTCTTTATCGTTTTTTTTAATAAAGAGGCCAACACTGCAATACATGTAGTCCCACACCTATACTCTGTTCCACCTTACGATAGACTGTAGAGGACGCTACCAGCTACCGAAGTGAATGCATTGCCGCTTGAAAGAGGATTTTCGAGAAGGGCGCAGGTGACACACAGGACGCATAATCAGGTGACACGTTCTCGGTGTTAGATTGGCTGGGATGGGTCGTCGCGTCCCCTCGGGTATATCATAAATTGAACCCACGTATAGAAATGCAATCAACGTGAGAGCTCAAGAAAGAGGCGTTTTGCCCAATGCCGTTGATTGCCGATGAAGCGCGGTGGTTCAAGGCATGTGTCTGTTGGAGAAAAAAGCAGCATTTCCCGCGTGTGTCCCTGAGCTAGCAGCTCACGCGGATGCCACGCGAAAGCACTGGCCCCGAACACTCTTTTTTCTAGTTTTCACTTAACATTTCGTTGCTATTCTGGTACTTTGCAGTATAAAATCTCGTAACTTCTAGTGTGTTCTTGTCAATAATGCTCTTGGCAGCGTAACATATAATGTCGCCCATCTAAATCGCCCATCTAATTCCGCGTTGAACCCACATTTGGCACGCAGAAGAATTGCAACCCATCTTGGCGTGAATTCTACTCGCACTCGGTCAGTGCCTCGCGTAAGATTGTACCAGACTTGTAAGCACAGGTCCCGCAATTTATGTCTATTACGATAGAATGTGTGAGCTCTAAGCCGGCGCCCCATCACAACCCAGGTGTGCTCACTAGGATTGATATCTGACGAGTTAGGTAGCCTGGACATCAACGGGAATTTGTCATCATGCTCTTCAATTCACTGTAGTATAAGTGTGGCCTATTGACATGGAACATTGTTCTGTTGGAGGCTCCCAGTTCCGGTGGAGAAGGCAAGAGACGGACGGGTGTAACTGGTCAGCAGTGACCTTGACATCACGATCTATCATTTGTCAAAGTGGCGAAATTAGGCAGCCTTTCCCATTACGCTCACAAGTAGTCGTCAAAATTATCCTTTTGATTCCTGACTGCCGTTTTCCACCATCCGCACCAGAAGATAGTAGGTAACGTGGATGCGCGTCGTTTAGCCGCACTGATTCCCCGAATGTGTGGGTGGTCGTAATGTTTCGGGTGATCAGTGCATAAGAGAGGCCTGCGCTGGCGTCATTAGTTCAGTCGCCCCTTCGGCACCTTAGTAAGATATGATATCCTCTCGTTTAAGCGCAGGTACAAGTCATCCTAATTAAACGTGCATTTGCAGTTTTCGCGTCAGTTCATTTCCTCATATCTGTGGAAATGTACACCCCCACAAACTGCATACGTTTCTGGTATGGAGTTTGAGGCAGAGGAGAAGCCGGGAGCAGGCGACGACTTCAGAACACCGAACTCTGGTTGGAATGATAAGTGGGTGGACGCGAAGCTATAGCTGCCTTCGTTTCTACCCAATCTTTGAAGCTGCTCGAACGTCGAACGCCGGCGTCCTGAGTTTGGCGTTCTCGTTCGTACTCGTTCTAAGAATGAGTACAAAGACATCTAACTTTCGAAGGCAGCCTACAAAGGGAAGCTAGCACGCGCAAGAAACGCGTCGTGGTCCTGTGGTTTTGCTTTGTTTGTGTGTGTGTGTGTGCCTCATTGAACTAGACGGTGATAAAAACACGCAAAGACGACGAGCGTGATGACATTGCACTTTTGGCGCTGCTTGATGGACACCATTGGATGGTGGCATTTTGCTGAGTTCGGACACAATGTGAAACGAAGATAGACCGCCAGGAGCCGTTTCTGGGGTGCACGGAGTCTCCCTTACTCTTTTGTCACGCACCATGCGAATGAGTTGATAAGATAACGGAATATCTAAAGTCAGACGCCATGCGGTAATCACCGGGTGAAAGTGCCGCAACACTCGACGCACGCTTATCGCTGTGCGCTACGCGAGGGGCTCCAATATCAACTCCCTCCGTTCAGAGATATGCGCTTGGGCGGTCTAAACTCGGATTTGAGCAATCATCAGGTTCGTAGATATGTTTTTCTAAGACCTTCTCTTTCTTACGGTGATTCTTTTAGCATGTTTTCTTCTTTTTTATAGAGCTAAAAAATAAACGTCACTACGTAAGCGCGCGCCGCGGAGGTTTTGAAGCCATCAGATTAGTCTGCACGAAAGTTGGCGCGCGCGCAGGACATTATCTGAGAATTAGGAATCTACAACTTCGCAGTGTAACGCAATTTGAAGTTTTGTTTAAATATGCACAGCCCTTGCCGGCCTTGCGGCCATCACATAAGCAACCTACTTCTGCGTAGGATCACTACCCTAGCGGGTGCACATTGCCTCTGGGTAATTTGGTTTTGGTGCTTCAGTGAAAGCCAGCATCTCATCTGAAAGGGTTTGTATATTGGAAGCGCACTCCTCCAAGCTGGAGCTCGAGCAATTAACCTTCAAAATAAGGCACCACATAATATTTATATTTTATAATAATAAACGCCTTCAACCTGCTTTTTTAACGTAAGGTGACGGTGCGAAATAGAACAACAAATAACGGCAGTGCTCCGAAGTATATGTGAATTATTATAAATGAGGAATGTGAATACACATTCAAGTTATTAACAATTTCAAAAACTTTCGCTTAAATTTTTTTTAAATTTGTTTATTTAGTATTTTATTTCGTAATAGTTGTAACCTGTCGAGCTTCAAAAAATTTGAAGCACATCTACGTAGCTTTGTGAAGATTTTTATATTCAGGCACAATACACGTGCTCGTTGTACCTGACGGCCTCCTCAGAGTAACATTTTTGTTTAAAAATTTGTTGCTACAAAGAGTGATCGAATTTTTTGTTTGAATGAACATTCAACGGAGAGAACTAACAATGTCCTAACATTATTACTCCAAAATCAATTTTATATAAGCAAATTGACTACCTGTGCCGTGAGCTCTTTAAATCTATCTAAGAGCTTCGTTGACGTTACGCTAGTAAGTAAATATCATACAAATAGCCCTCATCACACGCGTTAGTGAAAACGAAGTAGAAGACAACACAGTAACATAGTTCCTCATAAAAGTAGCGCGTTTATAAACTGCAGGTAACGACGTCCCTCTTTCTTGTCATACCCCAACATTTTGAACCATAATCGTAAGTTATAAATAAAAAAAAAATCATCGACTTTCGAGTAAAAAAAAGCGCGTTAAAAATGACCGCATCTCCAGGTGGTGAATGATGTTGATTGGGGCGAAGCTCTGGTAGTGCTGATCATACTGATTTTATTGTTCATAGGTAGTGCTGATGGTGCTGATATTCTTTTTATTGCTCATAGGAAATGCGGAGTTCCGGGTTGCGTTTCGACTTCATTATTACTGCTTTATGGTCGGTGAAATGCAGAGCCAGTGGTTCTTCTAGCGGATCACCTTGGATCCACTGGAAGCCGTGGGAACGCATCTCCACCGCATAAGTCAACGGCCCATGTCAGAAAGAGAATGTGTGGTATGGATCGTGGTTATGTACGCATTTCAGCATTTGACCGCACCGCCCTCTCGTCTATAAACGCTGAGCGAATGCATGCCAAGTTGAACGCGATTATATACGCATTTGACCGCAGCGCCCTCTCCTGTATAGATGTTGTGCGGCTACATGCAACGTTTCATCCGTGACATCCCCAGCTCTTGAGTTACTACCACATCTCAGAGCTCCCTACTTGTCCCGCAGTCGTGGCCAAGTGGTTAAGGCGATGGACTAGAAATCCAGTGGGGTCTCCCCGCACAGGTTCCAATCCTGTCGACTGCGCAAACTTTTTTTTCTTTTTTTAAGAAGACAGATTGGATGGCAATCGATGTAAGCACGGACGCCGGACAAGGCTAGACCCTAAGGAGCTTCGCTCCTAAAACTACACGTTACGACGTGCCATTTACCTTCTCATGCCCCGAAATTTCGAAACCACAATCATAAGTAACATGTCACGAAGGGATCGGCTTTCCAGAGGGTATCCCATTTGCTATTTAGAATATTGCAACCGGAAATCCAATATTTGAAATTATCTTATTTTGTGAGCATCGTAGTCAGTCACTGACAGCCTACAAAATGCGGGGTGTGGCCAGCTACAAGCATCCCATCATCGCTCGTGACCTGATAAGATTCAAGCATTTGCTGATAAAAAACGCGGAATAACTGATCACGGAGAAAAAAAGAATATCAGGAATATAATACGACACGTCCAGCGTTCTTTAAGTTGACAGTGACCATAGACACTTTGAGGTATAGACTTGTAGCACGCCGCTTAGCGGTTGTGCTTCTGGTGTTGCATATACATTGTATGTAATGTTTACGCTTTAGTCAAGTTCGGTATGGACCCATATAATGGGACTGCCTGCCTCCTGCCAAATATTAATTAGTAAAAACCTCGCTCCTTCAGCATATGGTTCGTATGAGCTGCCTGACCGCCCGCAAAGAATGGATTGCTTCAGGGTCCACGAGGTTTTTGTTGCAAATAGATGATTACAAGCTATTGAATTGCATTTAACCGAGAGTTTCCTTGCGAAGGTGTGTTTTCATGAAGAGGGCTTACAGATTTTGATAAGCGGCAAACCAGTATGGCCCCGTACGCACCTTGGTTACAGCCTGTTTAGGATTTACTACAATAATACAAGCTGAGAGTATCATCAGTAGCACAAACACGCAAGCCTACGCCTACCAATTCGTACTAGCATATTAATAAGGCCGTACTAGATGTAGGGTTGAAAACGCAACAAAACGCATATTCGAACTCTACTAATTTATACTCAGCCCACTTCAACATGAGGTCTGCAGTAGAAGCTTCTCCCACGAATTGTAACGAAATACTCGTGTTACTACCCTACAAAAACGCACCATTTTTCTATCTTCAGGAAATGGGACACCCGAAACACGCACCTACATAACCAGATGTGTTTGCCTGGAAATCTTATTAGGGTTATATATCTTGTGTAATTGCCAGTTCGACGGTGTCTCTCACCTGGCATGGTGCAGTAATTCGCTAGAATAGGGCTACTGACGCAGCAGCCCTGTTCTCTTGGGCGGAGCTTTACCTATTGTGAGAAGAGCCTCTCCTACATATCTTATATTGCGGCATTTTATAGCTAAAAGTATTCAAACAAGCAAGAATCAAAACAAATGACTAGAGTTAAACAGACAACTACAGTGGTACTGATGTGCCCTCTTAAACTTATTTTTGTCTGTTTATCTCTTGGTTATTGAAAAGGTATCTCCCTCTTTCAATATTTAAAGCAGTAATTGAGAAAGTGTTTTCTATAAGTCTATTTGACATGAAACATGTGAGAAATTTGAAAACACGGAATCCGCTTTAGAATATTATTGGTTATGGGCGCTTGTAAAATCGTTTCGCTCTGTGTATTAGGCTTGTAGCTATCGCTTAACTTTTCTAGCATATATGCGCAATAAAACAAATCAGAATGTCGTTTCTCCGGAAACCACGAATACTTGTCGATCGCATGCATTGTATTTAATGACGCCTAATTTCACCGAAATTTTTTCTATCCCATATTTCTGGTACGAAGTACTTGGTTTAGACGATAGGAATAAAAATGTAAGTTAATTATTCGTACAAATGGGGCAAGAAAACATTTGTCTAATATTACTGGGCCAGTATACCTTCTGTAGAGGGACAGTTTAAGAGACGCAGAGCGCGGCCAGACCGCAGCCGTTAAGATTCTGCAATCGGACAATAAAAATGTAACAAGGACTAATCATGAAACAAGACACGGGAGCATAAAAAGCAATGCCCTGCATTTCTGAAGTTATCAGTGACTAGAGAAGAAAATAGGTTAACTCATTTAAAACCACGGTAAATTGCCAATTCTCAAATCATCCGTTCAAACGCTTTTATTTTCCTACGTAACTTGCGTATGAAGAAATATGACACATCGAAATGTGGCCATTAGTTGTTTCGTAAAAAAAAAAAAAAATTGAGGTTAACATAATGTGAGAAAAACATACTCCAATTTCATTTCTCAACAATACATGTATACGTGCGGAGGCGTATAAACACTGAAACGTCTACAGCTATGTCAAATTAAACGGATAAAAAAAAATTGTATATATAAAATGTGCCCCACACCCACAGCTATTACATCTGAAAGTTAATGTACTCTAACTGACGTTGTCTATGTTCGGTTCGTCGGAGAGTTAGCTTCCGTAACACGTGTGATTTTCAACGAAGGAATGCTTATAACGGTGAGGCACAGATAGTACACCTCACATTCCCAGCAGAATACTTTCCTTGTGTTCCACCTTGGGTTTGTCATAGCCTCGACTGCAGTTCCCCTACATTTAGAATTTTTGTGCACCTTGTTGGGAACATAAAACGTGTACGCCGGCTCAGGGCAGCCTTGGAATGTATAGTGATGCTTACCGAGAACTATCTTAAAAGGAACGCCTATACCATGATTTGAAGTGTCCCAAAAGCTTTTCTGGTACAAAAATATGCCACAATACAGATGAACTATGAGGACAATGCCATCTTTGTTATGAAGATTGATGCAAGCAGTTAACCATCTTAGATAAGTGCAGCGACCGTACTAATGACAATTTTCGACAGCCCACCAGCTTGCAATAAAGCTTAATAAACCTACATTGTAACTGAAACTAAGGTAGTGGAACTTGATTCGCCTCAATAAATTTGATTTCTTGACGACTTTTCGAAACTATCGATAGTCGGCGTTCGATGGCCCATGGGCGCGGTCAGGAAAGAGTGAAGCTGAAAGCAATATTTACCATAGACCAATATTTTTTTTTATATATATCGCATGACAGATTTAGCAATCCTAAGCCCTCATTTTATAAAGTCCACCTTTCAGAGAACCCTGCAGACTACAGGCAATAACAGCTGTCAGAACTCACCTCAAATCGCCGCCATCCTAGCGGGGGTCGAGCGTACCGAATTCCTCGGAACGCGTAGACCTGCACGCTAGTCACCAAGTCTTGAAGGAGCGCTTGCACCAGGTCTCCCCTAACAGTTCCGTAGCTAGTGGAAACTGCCCTGGAAGACGACTCCTGAAAGTTTCCTACGTGGAGAGTCGCCAAGAACACGGCGATCGAACACAGAATCCACATCCAGTTCCGCACGGCAGCCATCCTTCTTTCTTCTTGAGATCTGTCCAAGTGCAGACTTCGAGACCGGTGTAGTTGACGAGCTGTCCGCGGTGAATCTCCCGCCGGCTTTTGACGTTGAATTATCTCAGGATGTCCTCTTAAGACTTGTCGAAGTGCAGAGTACGCGACCGGTGTGCTTGGCGAGCTGTCAGCGAAGAAACCCTCCGCGGCTTTTGCCGTTTAAATATATCTGGACTTGAGCACGTCGCGTGCGTAATCTCGTTTGCTTTGGAGCATTTTTCTCTCCCTAGAGTCGCGGTGAGCGATAAAGAGTCGGTGGTGACGCGACCAGTTCCTGATATCGCGAACATTTCGCGTAAGTCGGGCTTTTGGTTTGAGTCTTTCCGTAATCGCGCGTTCGACTCAAGATATTAACAAATATCGGTGAGCGAGCTCGAGTGTTCTTCCTTGGGTGCGAAAGAGGCGATTGTTCGTGAAGAAGATCCGACCGTGGCTATCATGCTATGCTCATTGACGTATGCTTAACACTTCGTATTTTGAGATAAAATAGGTACGAGAGAAGGAAGCCTATACTCTTTTTCACTTTGAGTCCGACCCCAGATGTATATATCTGGTTGCACTTATATGTTTGCGTCAACGCGCATACAGCGAAGAACGCCCAAATGCACCTTATGCTATACTCTCGCATTCTTGCTATGTTCTCAAAATCTCTAATTGAAGTGAAGCCTCTCAACATACCACAATTTACATCACAATTTATTGGGTGTCATCTAACAATACAAAAATGATCACGACATATCTGCATGTTGTGCAAAAAAAACAAAACATGACGAGCAATTTTCTCCTTACTCCTAAATTACGTTTTTCGCTATTTTATTTCGATATGAATTCACTGTAACTATACTACTGTAAGATCTTGCATCACTTTAGAGCCCGTGGACACAAGCTATGCTGGAGGACAACTTTGTGCGTCAATGAAGACAGGGTGCATGTAAGCTCACGTATCGTGAGCGTGGATCAAAACTGTGCACGCATCCACTTTGTTTGCCACATGTTACTGAGGGTTGTTCTTAAATATTTAAAAATGCTCTCTCGCAGACCCTAACATTGAGGACACCGTAACCGAATGCAACATCGGGACAACAAAATGTATCTCTGAGCTCTTTCTAAATGTTTTATGAGTTAAAGTTTTCTAATATTACTTTTGTTATTTTATAATCCCCGCTTTTTTTTTTCGAATATCTTTGTTGTTTCTAAAATTCTATGGTGGGCCGACGGGTATATCTGGGTTGTTCAATGCTCAAAATGGATGTTACAAAAGAAAAAAAGAAGTTATATATACTTAAAAAAACAATATTACACCAAATAGTAATTTGTATTCGTATGTCGAAATCCACCAGTACGTCCAAGACCTCAACACCTGTCACCCGGTGCTAGACGCCATCCGCCTGTCACTATCCCATCTAAAGACCTAGACACCTCTAGCCAGCTCCGCGCAACCCACACGGGTTGTGATCTACTCGGACATCAGAGAGGCCGTCACAAGGTCCGGACTCATTGCTCGCCAAGAATCCCCCTGTCAGCGTATTATGCGTCTATGCGCCGAACTGCACTCCACCCACAAGTTTTTTATTACGTTTATTTTTTTCAAACTATCCCACAGCACCCGTGAGGACACAATAGTGGGCAGGGGCAAATACAAAATCAAGTTCCTGACGAGGACATATTTCTTTTTTCTGAGCGTTCCCAAAAACCAGTCAAAGGTGCTCTTCTTGCGGAGAAGACGCACAGCAAATGAAAACAACAACAGATCCCTGCATCAGAGTAAAATATATGACGCTCTAGTTAACATATAAGGAAAAGACCGGTAGTTTGATGTACGGGTGGATTGGGTACTGGGGCATGCGAGTGGCCGAGGCAACCGCTCAGGGGTGTGCGAGCGCGCAGTCCTCTATCCGCTCCGAAGCGGACACCTCGGTTCCTCCTGCACTAATCGCCCCCGACGCCTGGGAGAAGAAGGCAGCCTCCAAGATGCCAGGCCACCTCCACCGAAGGGAACAGACTCCAGCATACGCTTCACCCTTACCGAAGGGTCTACAAAGAGGTGCTCGAATGCTCATCCATAAAGCACGCACCGGAGCCGCCCTCACTGAGGACCTCCTGGTTCGATGGAGAGTCTACACCCTTAAAAAAGGGCGCCCGCCCGACGCAGATGAGCTGGGCAGTACGCCCTTGCCACACACCAGTTCCAACTGCGAACCAACGCAGTCAGCTTATAATGCAATTAAATGCGAAGGTGCGAGCGATCTGGGCAAGAATGACGAAAATCATCCCCGGAGAAGGGGAACAAGAGGGACAAAGGTCAAACACCTTTGCGTCTCTTGTTCCCCTCCTCCGGGGGTGACCGCTGGAGGAGGGGACCGCTGGGTTGAAAGCTGAGGCTTTCAACCCAGCGGTCACCATTTCTATATGCTCTGCAGCCGTGTTGTAGGCGTTACCGAAGAAAGTGACGAAATACGTCATTCGTAACTTGGAAATAAAAGTAACACGTTCCCGTCCTGCGTTAATTCAAAATAAAAGGAACGCGTTATAGTTACCGTTCAAAAGAAACGCACGTCACTTTCCGTTATTTTTTTTCTTACGATTATTGATTAACACGGTTCACTGTTTTGGTAAAAACACTATGTTCATGCACAAACATAAAATAATTACTTTATCTTTATTACAGTTTCACCTAAATACTCACGTGAAAAAACGCAAAGAAAACGCTAAAAAACTCAAAACTTCCCATGGCTTGACGACAAAAAAAAATTGAAGTGCCATTTTTTAAGTCTTGGGAAGAAGTAACGTAACCACATCACATGTTACTCAAAATAAGTAACGCTAATACGTTACCGGTTACTGTTTTGAAAAAGCAACGAGTGCAATACTACGTTACCGAAAAAAGTAACGTGTTACCGGTAACGCCGTTAGTTGTAACGCGTTACCGCCAAGACTGTTGGCGAGGCGCTCCCCCACAGTCCGACATCTCGTGTGGCAGTGTGCGGGACTCCACGCCGAGTGAACACTTCTAGAACCCAGAATACATGCTGACGAGGACTGGGTCAACACGGAGTGCGGTGCCCCGAGCAAAACAGACCCTAACGGGCCCTTCGGGACTTTGCGCGCTCTGCTGGTAGGAACCAAGACTTATTATTTTCTTTCTTTTAGTCAGTGTTTTTCTTAACCGTTCCCCACCAGTCCGGCGATTCATCCTTGTCGCAATAAAGTGGGAAAACAACAACAAGGACTACAGAGCTCTCGTCACTACTCCGAGTAAATTGTTTCAAAATTGGCTCAGTAAAGAGGAAAGCTCCGCTTGCGAGGCTGGCTTCCCGCTTCTTACTGACGTATATCTCGTTCATTCTTCAAGGAAATTGTTGCGCATTTCCCTCACGAAATGGCTTAACCGTGTTGTCGAATAAATAACCAAACAAAACAATGGTGAAATGGTGGGTGGTACTTTAACCCAAAAAGAATTTACTGTGCATGATCTATTTTACTCGGTATCAGTCAGTTCTTGTTCTCGATTATAAAGACGGGTTAACCTTAACGCTGTGCAATTCTTGGATGTCCGGTTCAGCGAAGAAAGAAAATTAGTTGGTTATGCAAACTTTTGTTTTGAGCGTTAAGTTCAGTTCAGTAAGCTTCCGTCATTCTGCTCTGGCGTTTCTTAAAGGAAACATGAAAGGTTCCTGAAAAAAAAATTGAGGTGAATTCCAGAGTATTTTTTCCGTGAATCTGAATATCACATTTCTTTACCCAAAGATGTAACTAAACGCGAGAAAACACGAAAACTCTGCAACCAGTCGTTGAGTTATAAAATTATCTTTCGGACGCCAAGTGCGTGCAATGGCAACCATGCCAGGAATATTCCCCCGCACTCACACCAGTCGTGACGCCTTTTTCTGGTCTTTTTTAAAAATAGCGAGCGTGGGCGTCCATAGATTTGATAAGCGCTGAAGATGCGCGAGAGCGGGGATCCCTGAAATTTCTTTTATGACATAATGTATCGGAAATAAGGGGTTCAACGGTAGTTTGAAAAAAAAAAAATTCTGAACCTCTGTGTAGCGAATTGAGAACTAATCTCGATATTTGTAATTTTTGAAAACCAAATGAAGGCGATTTATGTGTTTCTGCTCAAATACAAACCCGCTTCAGTTTCCTTTTCGGCCCAGTTTCGAAATCGCGTATATATTTCTTGCTGTAGCTACTTGCTACGAACGGATTACAACTAAAGCATATATCTTAAATGTAAACAAAGCCAAACAGTCATTGCATATTTTCTTTAAGGTTTCCGAGGGTCAGAAATTGAGAAGGTTTGCTTATTCACTACTCCACGATGTTTTATTTTTTTTTTGTGTTTGGGGGGGGGGGGGGTTCTTTTTGAACTTATACTGTTGGACTTGAAACAAACAGCCTTTCTCTAGAGCAGGGGTGGCCAAGCTGCGGTTCTTCGAGTGTTAAAGGGCGGCTCGCGGCTCCCTCTCCTTCCTACCCCCCCCCCCCCCCCCCCCCCGGCCACCCTCCCAGTCACACGAGCACTTCCCCAAAAAAAGAAATGGAACGCGTTTTAAATCGAAATACAGGTAGCGGTTTGGTAGTCTTGTGCTACTGCTATCTTACCTGCAGTTGGACTGCTTTTGACCCAAATAGATTGAAAGTTCTTTCGAGTTTCATTTACTGCCCTAAACAAAAGTTTGACCCCCCGGCTCGCGGCTCTTGGAAGTTTCGTGATTTTGTTTGCGGCTCTTAGGCCGGGTCAGCCTGGCCGCCCCTGCTCTAGAGGATCACATGCGATGTCCTCACACAGTGAACTTCATGAGAACGCTGCTTGGTGGCTATACATGAGTCGTCGCAAACATCGTAAATGCTTCAAGCACCTCGAGACGTCACAAGTCAACGTCAGTTTGCAGATACGACTTGGGTGTGTCACGCTGCGTCAGGCGAGAAAACCTCATTTCAATGTTACGACTTCTTCCCGTAACTCTTACGCCATGATACGAACTCTTCGTCCTTAGCTTTATCTCAGAAGTTCCGTAAAATTGCGCTGCAGAAACAAAAAAAAAATTATCTGATTACTCATTTACAATTTTTATTATGAAATAGTTTCGGCTTGTACTTATCCCTGATATAATCCACACGCGATTAGGCATTGAAGACATTTCCACCGCCGTTTTGCATAACTACTTGTTCCTAATATACTCCAAATTGTATTA